TCGCCGTCCCCCAGTCCCCCATCTGCCTGTGTGTCATCCCCCTCCCAGCACCCCACCCCACTTCGAGCACCCCGCCCCCTCCACCAAGTGGAGCACAAACGCCGTCATTTTTCGTAATTATCATGCAGTGCCGCGAGTGCCGCCAGCACTAAAGAGGACGGGGGTGGCGCGGACTGCATGCCGCCTGGACCCGAAAAAAACAAAACAAAGAAATTGAATCGACGCTGTTCCTGCAGCCCGCTTCTGGCTGCCCAATCATCAAGCGACCCTCCAATTACTGCAATATTTATCTCCTGGAACGCGGCGGGCTGGCGGGCCGCGCGCCAGTGGCGTGGCCAATGTTTTATCGACGATGAATGGCGATGGAGCCGCACGCTGGCTGGCGGGCTTTGCAGTGCTGTGCGGGCCGATACAGTCGGCTCCGCATATCGGCCGAACGACGCCCACCTCGCCCACGCATTCGCGCCGAGCTATCATTGACGGGCTTGTTTATTGAATCAGAATGGACGCGCCGCCGGTTATCGCGTGTCTGTGTGCGAATGCGCGCGGGTGTGTGCGTGCGCAGGCGGACGTGTGTGTGTGTGTGTGTGTGTGTGTGTGTCTGTGTAGGATGACACCCTCTCACTCTGCTGACTCAAACTCTCTCGCCGTGCCAGAGTAAAGTCTGCGGCTCTGGATCGGTCGCTCCGCCGTCCGCCGTCTAGGGTCGTTGCATTTCCATTGGCAGTGCGCAGTGCAGGAGCCGAGAACCGGTGCGGGGCGGGACGGGGGTGGGGCGTGGGCGGCGGCGGCTGCGAAGCCTGGCGGAGAGGTACGGCCGGGTGTTTGTTTGCGGCGCCGGGAGGGCCCTCCACTGTATTTTCGCACCCTACATGGATTTCCAATGCGTAGCCCCTCCCCGGCAGGTACACTACACGCAGCAATGCGCCGCCAAAGTCTTGCGAAGCCCTCCGCGGGGCCGTGCTTGAGCCCTGTGTGCCCTTTGGGCCTGTGGGCCTTTGGGCCCTCCTCTGCGGCCGCGTGTGCGGCACACCGTGCGCCCCGTTTGCCCTTTGCGTGCGCGGTGCGCGGTCCCCCCGCCGCCAACCCCTTGCCACGTTACCCCTTCCCCGCGGTCCCCGCTCGGCGTGCTCACTCCCGAAAGCTTTCGCGGCCGATTACATCGCGCCTCCCCGCGGAACGAAAGGCACAACAACCTCTCCAGCGCCCACTGGCCGACTCCAGGGCCAACTTGGGCTGCGGCGAGCAGCGGCGCAGAGCACTGCACGACGCCCGGCGAGACCCTGGTGCTATGACTTCCGGTCACAATCTCCACTTTCAGCTGCCCGCCACCACCCGCCTGCCCCCTGGAACGCCACCAGGACCTCCTGGAACGCCCCGGAACGCCCCGGCCGGCTCCCTGAATCAGAGCCATCCGGGACCACGTTGCGCGCGCGGCGCGGCGCGGCGTAGTGCGTGGGTCGATACGGAGGGCTTGGGGGCGGCGAGAGCGAGGGCGAGAGGGCCGGGCCGCCGGCCTGTAGGGCTGTCTAGGGCTGTCTGTAGGGCGCGAGGGGCGTGGCGTGCCGGGGCGTGCCGGGGCCCAGGCGCACGCCCGTGCGCTGGTCCACGCCAAGCTGCCCGTGCTGGACGAGGCAGTGTCACGGCGAGGTCGCCGCACCCCCGCCGCGCCTCCACCCGTCCGCTGCAGCCAGCAGCCCGTCGAGTGAGATGAGGCGTGTGTGGCCGCCGGGGTGGGCGCCTCTACGGCGGGCGGGCCGGGTGCAGTGCCGGCGGTGCAGCGGGGTGACTGGCCTGCCTGGCCCGCCTGGCCTGCCTGGCCTGCCTCGGGGCGAGGCGTCGCGTAGAGGGGGTCTCGGTTTGCGCCGAGAGGGTGCCCGCCCGAGTGCTTGCTTCGGCACCGCACCGGCGCGGCGGTCGCATGCAGCGCCGGGCCCGGCGCCCGGCGGCAAGGAACTTTGATTCCGAACGGCAGCGCTGGTTCTCTCTCACACCCCGACGGGACGTCCCATGAGCGTGAGAGAGTGCCGCCGTGTCGCCGTGTCCTGGTGGCGCATTTCAAGAGAAGCCGGGACTTCACTGCCGTCGAGCTGACTGGCTGCCCGTCCGTCTGTCCGCCCGCGCACAGCGCAGCACAGCGCCCGGCGACTTATCACGGCGATGACGTCAAGCACGTCAAGCAGGCCTCGGCCTGGTGCACTCGATCCATCGATGGAGAGAATGACTGGCAACATCGCGACGCCCACGTGCCCGCGGCTTCTCTGCCGAGCGATTCCCGTGGATCGTTTCGTCGGGAAAGATCCTTGGAAACGGCTCAGCTGGCTGCCGATACGGCAGAGCGGCAGTACGGCACACGGCACCTGCCCGCCTTGAGTGCATTAGCGCTAATGGTCCCAGTGGCGGTGGCGCCGTGCGCCGTCCCAGCGCGGCCGGGTCATGTGCTGGCCGCGCTAGGACGAGGCAGGCTGCCCGCTGCCCAGGCCGAGGCACCCGTTCCGGAGGACGCAGCCCGCTTCCTCGTCCGCCCCGTCAAGCAGCGCGAGCAGCGCCCTCGTTACGTCGCAGTGCACGCCCATTACTGCAACATTGCAACGCCCCGCCGAGGCACGCCGATTGTCCTTTTGTATTGCAGTGCTTCCCTTCTTCCCTGCTTCCTCCCTGCCTTTGCTGCCCTTGCCTCCCCTTCCCCGTTCCGTAGGTCGATGAACCGGCCGGGCCAACAAGCCCTGAGGGCCCCCGGCCGCCCCCGGCCGCCCCCGGCCGCCCCACCGCCACACGCCCCCTCCCCTCCCTGGGGGGTTGCACCGATGCTCAATGGACGGTGCGGGTGTATGGGACGCGACGTGTATAAGGCCTCGAGGTGGCGCCGTCGGCGGAGTGCAGTGCGGCCTGCCCGCCCGCCTGCCTGCCTGCACGCCCCATGTCCATTATGTCAGTCTGACGTCTGTCGGCGTGGCGTGGCGTGGCGCGCCGTCCGACTGGGAGTGCGCGCCCTTTGATTAATATTGCCTCTAGGCCGATCTATAACCCGCCCACTCGACACTGGGGGTCGTCCGTGCCACGCCGCGCCGCGCCGCAGTGGGAGTCGCCAGTAATAATTGTCAGCAGGATGATTCCGAAAAGGTGCTTTGTCGCGCCGCGTCTCTGTCTCTCTCATGGGGAGTCCTTTGTCGTGTATTATCAGTGGAGTCCCCGGAGTGCGGCGTCTGCTTTGTCCGTCGCGCGGTCTCTCGGCCTCGCATCCCCGGTCTCGGAACGCGCGGAACGCCACCGCGCGAAAAACACGAAGCCTTCCACCGGCCCGACCGGCCGGCTGGTTGACTTTGCAGTAACAACAACAGCCGCCCTGCCCTCCGCCGCCTTGCCGCGCGATCCTTGCGCGCGATGCTCGCCGCCACGCAGTCTGGCGTGCGCCGCCACGCCGCCATCCGCCATCGCCATCGTTTGTTTACGTTCCGAATTTGGCGCGCGCCCCGCTGCCTGCTGCGCTCGGCTCGGCCCGGGCTCGGCCCGGAGCGCCTGGCCCCTCCACTTCCCTCCCCGGACGACGCCGAGGGCCGAGGCGGAACTAGTTCGTGTTTCTCGCCCAAATGTTGGCTTTTCCGAAACGGCGCGCCCGCCTGCCTTCCTGCCTGCCGGCGGCTTGCCCGAACTACTTAACGGTGGCGCTGCTGCCGGTGCTGCCGGGGCGTGGGTCACGCCGGTCTCGGCGAGGCGACGGGGGTCTCGGCCGCGGCGCGGCTTTATTAGGACTACCGCCCTTGTGACACGGTGCCGCGCTCGAGGCGAGCTCGAGGCCTCGGCGCTGCGGGTCGACAAGGAGGCCACCAACTTGGCTCGCGGGCGCCAGGGGGCTCGTTACGGCACCGCGTCGCCACCGCGCCGCCACCGCGCCCCGGACCACTTGGGGTGGGGGCGGGGCGCCACCAAGTTTGCCGTGGCGGCGCCACTCACGCCAATGAACCTGATGAACCCCGCCATCCTGGATGATGCCGCTACTGCCAGGCACTCGACGACGGCGACGTCGAGGTGAGCGGGGAGTAACCTAGCGAGGACAACGTCGACAGGGAAAACGCCAGACCTCCTGAGAGACAAGAGCTGCTCGGAGAGATTCGTTCCTTCCTCGTCGTTTTTTATTCTCTTCCATCTGATTGGCGAGGGTCCCAGGTGGCTGGGCCGCCGCGCCGCCGCCTCGGGGGAAGCGGGTACACCAGCACCTGCCCCTCCGCGATGCACAACTGCACTGCTCGTCAAACATCGCCCTGCCAGTGCGGCTGCCAGGCCCCCGAGATTCATTGCGCCAACGTCTACAACGTCTACCACGACGGACTGTGATCTATTGTGATGCTCACCACCTCGAAATCTTTAAGGACCTTGTTAAATCTTAGTGGATCTACTAAAAATCCACTAAAATCCGCTAAAGTCTCGGCGTTTTTTTTGTGGTGCATCCTAATTAAGATAAGCGGCCCAGTAGCATCAATACTTTTCCCGAGCAGAGATAGGGTAAACTGTCAACCCGTGGCGTGCTTGGCGTGCTTCGCGTGCTGCAGGTTGCATGTCGCGGCGATCGCGGCCGCGTGTGTTGTCGGGTCGGCGGGTCCCTCGGGCCGCGCGGGCCGTGCGGGCGGCCTGCCCCAACCCGTCCCTGCTCGTCTGCTCGTCCTGGCCCGTCCCCGGGCACGCGGCACGCACGCCACTCGCCTAGATGGCCGCGGAGGCCGCCTTGCAGGTAGGCAGCCCAATGCCCCGGTGCGCGCTGGTTGCCTACCCACCAGGCGGCCTGCCGGCCCGGCCGCGCTTCGGTTTCGGTTTGTTTTGATAGACGCCGCGGGGTGCGGCGGCGCGGGGCGGCCTAGTCAGTCGTTTCCATTCCGCTTTGGCAGTGCCGTTGCCGCTGTTTGCCTGTTTGCGCCGCGCGAGATATTTCTCAGAGAGGCCCCACGGCTTCCGCGTGGGCTAAAAACTCTTTCTCAGCAGAGATTTTCTTTTGGTTGTTCCAGGTGGCGATCAAGATTATCGACAAGTCGGTGCTCGACGCCAGCAACCTGCAGAAGGTGTACCGGGAGGTGGACATCATGAAGCAGCTGGACCACCCCCACATCATCAAGCTTTACCAGGTGGGTTTTACAGTGTGGGGCGTGTAAGGCCCAGTCACTCACGGCCAAGGTCGCTTTTGGCCCTTTGGAACGAAAGTTGCCAGAAATAGCCGGGGACGAAAGGGCGCGAGGCGAGGGTGCCGAGGGCGGCGAGGGCCTGGCTCGGGCGATGCAGCGCCCTGTCGCCCTACACTGTAGGGCCTACAGGGAGGGGTCCGGCCGACGTCAAAGCCGTTCGATCTCACGGGCCACGCCCCACGCGGCCCCTCCGACGTTAAATACCTGCCCCTTATTTTTACAGCCTCTTAAACGTCGGACTGTCGCTCCAGTTTACAACACAAAGGGGCGGCGCGGCGCCGCGAGTTGATACAACGGCCAAATGTTGTTGTTGTTGTTGTTGTTGTCGACTGTGCGGCGTTCAAGTTGTCCCACTCGTCCGACGCGAACGCGGCTACTCGTCGCGCTGGCCTTCATTGTGTGTCGGATTGGACGTAACCGGGTGAAAGGCGGTGAAAGGGGGAGGGGGTGGCCTAGGGGTCGGCGTCGGCGGGCTTGCTTGACCGCCACACCGCTAGCCGCCACCGCCACCGCCGCCGCGGGCCGCGGCCTTTGGATGGCCGATGGCCGGCGCGCTGACATTCACAGCCCCACACCTCGCCTTGACTCAGCCCCCCGCCGCCGACCCCCGCGGTCGATGACGTCACGGCGGTGCTTGGCACGCCAGCAGGGTGTCGTCACGACACGCGGATGACGTCACGCGGCGCCGAGTCGCGCCGCCGCCTTCGGTTCCCTCTCGGCCTCCTCGGCCTTTGCCTCGCCGCCGCGGCCGCCCTAAGTTATGGACTGGCTAAGTCGGGATGGGCTGCCGCGCCACCGCTGGTGATCGAGGCGAACTTGTTGTGCCGTGGAGGCGCGGCGCGGCGCGGCGACGCGCGCGGAAAGCAGAGGAAGGCGCTGGCGCGATGCTCGCATTGGGGTGCTACATAAACCAGGCCGACGGCGGGCGACCATCGCAACCATCATGACGACCGGCGCACCACGCGGCACGCCACGCACGGCGGCTAGGTCGTGACGCAGGCGAAGCGGGGGGCCGCCGTGGAGGGCCGTGGAGGGGCGGGGGAGGTAAATAGTGCGGCGAACCTTTCTTTTGGGCTGACATTGTGTGTGTCGAGCTATTTCGGGCTTTCTGTGACGACAACGACACCGCGCCGACGGTTGGGCTTCGGCCAGCGGGCAGGCCGCGGGGCCGCGAGGGGCGGACCGGGCGGACGGTGCTCGGTGCGACGACGTCACTCCGCCTCTGTGTAGCGACCTGTCTATTTCTCGTGTACCGACGTAACGACCCTCGACCTTCTATTTCAGGTGATGGAGACGGCCAACATGATCTACATCGTGTCCGAGTACGCCAGCTCCGGCGAGATTTTCGGTGAGTGAACCGCTCTCTTCCAAGTTTAACCCGTTATCGGCCCGCAGGCCCGCAGGCTGAAGGGAAGGGCGCCTAAGGCGAGGCCTAAGGTCATGGCCGCGACTCACAAAGCCATTCGTCAACCGAATGGGGCCAGCTGACGCGCAAGCCGCACCGCACCGCGCGCCAAGCGCAGACGGACTTCCCTTTTTGGCCGAAACCTTTTTTCCTCGTGGGGATCGGCGGCATGGCCAGTCCACCTGAGGGCTTGAGTGGCTCCGCCGCGGCCAAAGGACGGGCGGGGCGGGCAGCGAGACGGCCTTGGTGGCCTCGGCGCTGGCCGCGGTGTCGCGCCCGGATTCTGCTAGTGTGGTGGGATGGATGGGATTAAGGGTGGCACTCCGGCCGCCATGCTGCCGGCCCCCAGACAGTGGACCCCCCGGCGGACGGCCACGAGGAAAACACGTCTTTGCTTCCCTCCAGTGGCCTTCAGCCGTGCTTCAGCCATGCTTCAGCCTCCCCAGGGCCAGGAGCGGCCCGGCGGCCCGGACCGTGGGTGTTCTAGTAATTAATTCCTTTCAAGCAGCGGGGCGGAGCGAGTCCCGGCCCGGCTTGCCCGGCACCACAGTGTAGGGGGGGCTAGTGGAGGGTTGGCCGGCAGTGCCGGCAGGGGGAGCACTCCCCGCGCCCGCGTTATTTCCCGCGGTCCAGAGGGCCGAGTTTAAACAAACTGACCGCGAGACCCTTCCCTTCCCGGTTCTGTTCCCTGGCGCCGCGGGGCGGGGCGGGGCGGGGCGCCTGTCCGTCTGTCCACGGAGGTCTGCTGGTCGGTTGGGCGGCGGAAAGCGCCCGCCGTTTATCCCCCTTTCTAATTCACGAGGTCCGCTCAATTATTCGTCGCGGGATTAGTTTTTGGCGGGAAAACGCGCGGTCCAGCCGCTGCCTTGTTATTGTTGCTACAGTGTGTTGTTTGTTTGGCCTCCGCAGACTACATCGCCAAGCACGGACGCATGACTGAGCACTCGGCGCGGCGCAAGTTCTGGCAGATCCTGTCCGCCGTCGAGTACTGCCATTCCAGGAGGATAGTGCACCGGGATCTCAAGGTAAGGAAGCGAACACTTTTTTTTTTGCGGTGTGCCCGCCAGTTCATAGCAGCGTGGTTTCCTGACCGCGGCGTGCGTGTTCTATCCTTTTCGGTGGGATAATCAATGACCGACAAAACCAAAATGAGACGCTTTCGCGCGTGAAAACGATTTCGCTGACGGTCACCGCCAACGCGCCGTGCCGTGCCGTGCCACCCCGCCCCGCCTCCAGCACTTAGGCGCCACCGACGTGATGGGGCCGTAATGGAGCGTATTTGACGTTTAAGCCCCTCCCACCACCGCGCCAAAAATGTCACACACACACACACACACACACACACCACACACACACACACACACACACACACACACACATCCAGCGCTGTGACGCACTCCGTGACGGTCATCGAAGGGCGGGGCGGGGCGCGCGCGGTGCGGCGCGCTTGTGGCTGGCCAGGACTAGATGACGTAAATTGGAGTATTGACCGAAGTGGCCCTACGGCCGTCGGGCCTAGGCCGGCCCAGGCCCTCGCCCAGGCCCTCGCCCAGGCCCTCGCCCAGGCCCCTGGCGGCTCGGCCCGGCTCACGGCCCGGCCTACATGCCGCGCCACGCTCGCGCCGCAATCTTTGAACTCCCAAAACTTGCCCCTGCCGCTGCTAATGCGATTAGTTTCCACCCTTAGAATAAACAAAAGTGAATTATTGGTGCCTCGAGGTGCGGCCCTGCCCGTGCCAGAGGAGGTGGGGGTGGGGGGAGTCCGCAAAACACACAGTCCGGTACGGCGCAAGGCGCAGCATGGCGAAGCAGCGCGTTTTTGTTGCTTTTTGTGTTGTTGTTTTTGGCCGGCAGAGGCTTGTGTGTCGGTGAAATGGGGGAGGGGGAAGGGACGGGACGGCGAGATTAAATCCGATATCGCTGCTTGTGGTTATGGGTCATTGGGCCGTCGTGAGAGAGTGCCGGCTGTGAGAACGCCCCCGCCTCCCACCCAACAGTTTTGAAAAAAAATGATAAAATTGGAGCGTTTACTAGTTTGTTTGCGATTGCTGCGCGCGACACCCGACACTCTTTCTCTCTCCCTCTCTCCCTCACTCTAAAAAAAATGCTTCTTAAATTTCATAATCTGGATTTGAAGTTATTTGTAGAACAATGGATCTTAAATTTCATATCCAAAAAGTTCTTAAATTTCATAACTTGCTGTTCTAAACTTTCAGAAGTGGTTTATGAAATGTAAGAACTAGTTTATTAATTTTTTAGAATCAATTGGTTTTGAAAATTCACATTTGGTTCTGAATCTCTACAACCAATATTATGAAACATGATAATAGTTTCATTACTGCCCACAAAATGTATAAATAAAAAATAATAATAAATAAAACCTTTATCCCTTTCTTAATGAATATGTTACAAATGATGAAATCTCAGAAAGCTATGATTTCTTTTCACACTCAGTATTATCGCAAATCGTTGCAGCTGGCTAACGGAAATAAGCATTGTACTGTAGTGCAGTCGACGCTGTTAACAGTCAGAGGCGCAGCAGTGCATAAGATCCAGATGCACTTTAGGGAAACTCGGTCGACACGCAGAAACTACTTTGGGGACGAGGATGAAAGAGGAGAAGCGAATTGACATAATACGCCACCCACACGTTCATCGCCCGTCCCTACAGTTAAGAAGATGGAATAACAGCACTCAGTAACACCGCTTTTGGCGAAAACACGTCCTTTTTCCGAGGGTCGCCAAAATAGCTTGTAACTCTTGAACACGAGTGGTGGCTGTTCGGCACCACAAGCAACACTTTAACTGCACTCTACGCACTACGCGCACTAACGGTACATAGCGAAACAAAATGATGACGCGAACTTGCGGTGACGCGGACGCGAACTGGATACGCTGTGCACAGCACTGGAGACAAAGACACACTAAAAGTGACGCAGTGTCGCCGAAATCCCGTGTGGCCGAGGGATTACGCGACCCCTCGCCGTGCACAGGTAGCTTCGGCTTCGGCCGGCAGGCCGGCGAGCGGTGATTTTCCGTGGAAGCAGCGCCGACTCGGCTCGGGGCGGCTCGGCTCGGCTCGGCTTGGCCGGCTCGGCTCGGCTCGGCTCGGCCCGGAGGACGGTGGCCGGTCAGGCATTGCAAGGGACGCGATTTGCAGCCTCTTGGGAAATACTACACACAAATTTTGAACATGCATTAACTGGAGCATGCCTGCAAGTACGCTCCAACAAGCGCATGCCCGCCAAGCATGCACGAACTAGTGCATCATGCCATGTACACGCGAACTGAAGCAGACAGCTCTCCATACCTCTCATTAATGTAATAACTGTATGCACTAAAAAGTAGTAGGCATACGCTAGCAAAAGCGTGCTTGCTCCAGTTAGTGCATAAAATGTACGTTTTTCAGTTTGTAGACCGCCCCTAGGACTCCTACCTTAGCGGTTCGGAAAATGTTAACACATGCCGATAAAAATGAAAACTTCACCTCTTTATTAATTTAACCATGAATAAAGGACTAGGCAGCAGGACTAAACGGTTAAAAATTTCAGAACCTTGCTCTAAAATCGGCTAGCGTTATAAACTTTCAAAGCGAAAATCTAGATTTTAAGAACCAGAGTTATAAGTCACTCTGTTCTAAAAGTTTATAACCAGTTAATCTTAAAATCCATAACCCAAATCTTAGGTTTCATAACACGATCTTAAATTTTATACGAAGGTTATAAAAATTGAGGTTTAGAACGTGATTATGAAATTTTAGACTCCTTTGGGTATGAAATTTCATAATTTTTTTTAGAGTGCTCTCTCCCTCTCTCTCTCTCTCTCTCTCTCTCTCTCTCTCTCTCTCTCTCTCTCTCTCTCTCTCTCTCTCTCTCTCTCTCTCTCTCTCTCTCTCTCTCTCGCTCTCTCTCTCTCTTTCTGTCTCTCTCTCGCTCTCGCTTTCGTGCCGTCCTTCAGTCCCTCGCGCGGCGCGAGTTTCGAAAGTGAAACAAGAGCGAAAGGGGTAGTGCCTCTTGCAGCCCAGCATCGGCACGCCAGTAATTCCAGAAGGGGGAGGTGAGAGGGGGGGGGGCAAGGGTTGTAAGGCTGCAGCGGGCCGGGCTGTGTCGCGGCATTGACGTCATAGCTTGGGGGCTTACAGGGGTCTGCGGCAGGCGGCGGCAAGGCGCTGCCGGGGGCGAAAGGGGGCGGGGGGGGGGGGGGGGGGGGGACTGGAGACCCACCAGTTGGGGGGCGGGGGGCAAAATTCAGGGGTGACGTCACAGCGTCAGCACGGCGTCAGGGTGAAGTCGGGCGTGAGGGAAAAGTGTGGGTCGCGCGAGGGATGGTCCTGACGGTCCCGGCTGTCCTGACAGCAGGGCGCACTCACAAAGGACAAACCACCCCACCCCTTGGACGTACCCCCTTCCTCTCTGTCGGACTTTCGCCCCCTCACGTGGTTTTCCAGGCAGGCCTTTGCTGTACCCTCGTCTGTTATGTCCCCAAAAATGTGTTGTGACGTTGTCCGGGTAACTGGGCGCGGGCAAAGCGCGCCAACTGGAGGTGGCTCGCTGTGGTCTAGTGACGACCAGCGGCCACCACCCCACTGTGCTGGGGAGGGCGCAGTAGCGAGAGACCCCTCATCAGTCGTCTGGCCGTGTCCTGAACTTGCTCTTGTTGAAGTAGCCAGAAAAATATGAAAAAAATCGCTTAGAAAATCCAATTACTTTTCTTTTTGTCTGTTCTTCCCCCGGATTGTCACAGTCAGCGGGACTCACCTGCCGCCCACTGGGCCGTCAGTCCGTCAGTCGCACACGCGGTCCAACTTTCCTTCCATTTGTCTCCGGGCGGAAAGCGGCGCGGAATTCTCTTTCCCAGCCGGGATTTTTTTGTTTTTTGAAAAGCTCGCTTTTTGTGCAATTGAATAATCCCGGCCATTCTGAAGTGATTCCTGGAGGCCGCTGGTGTGAGAGGCAGGCGGGAAGAGGCAAGGGGATGAGAGAGGGAGTGCCTTGCGTTCATCGCGGCCAGCCCTCCCTCCGCAATGACTTAAACTTGTTCTGCCGCTGGAATCCGGGCTAAGTAATGTCCGAAACGCGGCCCCGCCTCGGCGTGCCGTGCTCGGCGTCCCGGACTCCCAGACGTCGCGTTATTAGATTCTAAGCGCCGCCGCACTCCCTGCAAAAGAGGAAAAAGGAGGCTGCCGAGCGTCGCGAGGCCGCGCCGTTATGGCCGTCGGAGCGCCGAGCGTCGCCGAGGCCGTCGCCGAGGCCGTCGCCGAGGCCGTCGTCGAGGCCGTCGCCGAGGCCGTCGTCGAGGCCGTCGCCGAGGCCGTCGCCGAGGCCGTCGCCGAGGCCGTCGCCGAGGCCGTCATCGGGACCTTCCAGGATTTATGGCCCGAAGATGGATCGAGGCGGCCAAATTACCGCTCTGAATCGCAATGAGAATGGCGAGAAAGACGCGACGAGCCTATTTTTATCTTTTTGTGCCCGATATCTGTGATGTCGTCGGCGCACCCTGCCCCCAGTCACCTGAATATTGTCTAAAAACTTTGAAAGATAAATGGTTGGTTACAAATAGTAAAATTTGAAAGAAAAGATATCTCTGAGTTGTCTGCCACAAGCACATTCCTCTGTGGTCCGCAATGTTCCTCCTGAAACGACTGCGCTGCCTGCACAATGCCTGCACCGCCTCGGCTCGGTTCTCGCCTCGCCCCCTCCCTCTCCTTCTCCGCCCTCACATTCGAACGTTGGTCAAGGTTGCAGCGACCCGGCTAGCTCGGCTAGCCGCTATCCGTCCCGGGGATGGTGAAAGATTAATCCCGTCCCCTTTCCCGCGCCGGCCGGCCGGCGGCGCTACCCCGCGCTGCCCCGCACTACCCCGCGCTGCTCTCCGCCTCGCCGCGTAAAGTTGCCCTGACGCACGCGACACGCGGCGAGCACTCTGCCGCTCGCCCGCAAGAGAAATTCTTTCTGCTCTCCGTTTTTGTGGTTTCGTCCCCGTGCCCGGGCGAACTTTACTCCTCTCTGATTAATCCTCTCGCGACGACCCTCCCGCAAAATCTGCTTCTGCGGGCGATTCCTCGCTGAGCTCCACGAGCAGTGGCGCGGAAGTCATCACATTTCAATGCGGTGGCAGTGTGGCGGTGCGCTCGGCCAGGGCGCCGCCTTCAACAAATGGAACCCCTCGGCTGGTTTGCACTTCGCAAGACCGCGCTGGCGGCAGTGGCAGGGGCGGCGGGGGCGGCCCGGTGGCCAAGTTTGGGCTGCCTTATCCCACCCCGCGAAGGGATGGAGCATCCCAGGATCTAGCCGATGACGCACGCTCAGGAGCCCCACACCCCGCACCCCCACCCACCCCATCCACTCACCCTACCTTCCTCGCCGCGGCCCCCTCTACCCCCTGGCCCGCGGCGCTACTAACATCATTCGCCATTCTCTCTCTCTCCCTCGCCGTCACTTTCGCCGGGCCGTCGTGCCGCGCCGCGCGAGAGGGCTATAAATTACCATGCCGTTTCTCTCGGTACACAGCATAGGTGGAGGCGCGGAGGCAGCGCGCGGTGACATTGTCTCGTTTGTGATAAACCGCCGTGACCCTGCGGCCTGCGCGCCCTTTCATTGCCACTCACACACACGCACACGCGCGGACGTTGACACTGGGGGTGGTGGCGAAAAAAAGCAGCACGTACTGAAAAACAAACGAACAAAAAATCAGAAAAAGTAAATAAGTGCCGGTGTTTGAACCTCGACTCGCAATCCCTTGACAACGGCAGGATGACATTTTTCAGGCGGAGAACTTGCTGATGGACACCAACATGAACATGAAGATCGCTGACTTCGGCTTCAGCAACTACTTCACCCCCGGCGAGCAGCTGGCCACGTGGTGCGGCTCGCCGCCCTACGCCGCGCCGGAGGTCTTCGAGGGCAAGAAGTACGCCGGGCCCGAGATCGACATTTGGGTGAGCCTTTCCGCAGCGCACTGCTTCGCCGAGGAATCGTTTCGTCGCTGTCTCTGTCGCACTCACTCACCCCGGTGCGAGGGAGACGAGACCCTCGGCGCTCGGCGGGGTGACCACCATGGCGGCCACCATGGCCCCTTACGGCGGCGAGGTAGGCCGTCCCGTTGCGCACCCCTGCAGGCGGGACTGCCTACCCCCGGAATCGCAGGGGCTCCGCCCGCCAACACCCCGCAAGAAAATGAAGCGAACCCGTTCCTTTTTCGAAGCGAACTGAAAGGCAATTTATCTCTGTTTCTTTCTTTTTTGCAGAGTCTGGGCGTGGTGCTGTACGTGCTGGTGTGCGGGGCGCTGCCCTTCGACGGCTCCACGCTACACTCGCTGCGAGACCGCGTGCTGTCGGGCCGCTTCCGCATCCCCTACTTCATGAGCGAAGGTGAGGTGGCGGCCACGCCCCGCCCCGCCCCGCCCCGCCCCGCCCCGCCCCGCCCCTGGGAGGGACTCCAGCAGGACAGGCCGGCGCGTCCGCGTGCCGCCAGTTGAAAATAGGCCGTCGTCCGCGGACCGCGCGGCGCTCCCCCGCACTTCCGTCATCACCGCGAGAGGGGCTCGCAAAAAAAGCCCGCGGCCACTCGCCGCCACTGTGCATGTTTTGCCCGCTAAATTTGGAGCGTCCTCTCTGGGTCTTGGCCTCCGCCACTTTAAATTTAGCCGCACAACTCGACTCGACGACTCACTCGACCGCCGCCGCGGCTCACGCTCTCCGCGAGTCCCCGCGTCGCCGGCGCCGCGTGCGCGCCAAACGCTCCGCCTCTCTTTATTGCGTTTGTTTATTATTGGTGCAGCGACGGGCGCGGTGACCGGCGTGCCGGGGAGAGGAGGGGGGGGAAGGGGGAGTCGAGCCGGTAATATCTACTTCCCTTGACGTCACACCGGCACCGGCGTCGCAGCCGCGCAGCCGCGCTCAGGGGAGGCATCTCGCGATCGGTTCCTTCGCCTCGCTTCGTCAGGGCGCCGTCAATGCGCGCCGAAACACGTCCATCACGACGACGACCATGACGATGACGGGGGTCTTTCTTCCCCCGGCTCAAAGTTACGAGGGAACGGACTCCGCGCCGAAATTCGACGTTTGATGGGTGTCACCCGCGCGCGCCGTCGTCCGTAGCGTGTCCGCCGCCGCCGTGGTCGGGACGGGATAGGGATATTCGATCCCGAGATGGAAAACGGTTGGGCCCGGGCCCGGGGCGCGTCCGTGGACGGCGTAACAAGGAACGGGAACAAGGGGCCGAGGCCGAGGGCTGAGGAACGGTCGGCGAGACCACCAGATGGAAAATGGGAGGTCAGCTTAGGCCTCGGCAGGGCGTCCCCGATATCGGACTTGGGCCGGTCTGGACGTCATGGTGCAGGGAGACACCTACCCGGACGGCAACGGTGCTTTCCTCGCTCTGTCTCTCTCGCACTCATGGGACGTTGCTTAGGGGTGCGAGAGAGACAGCACTGCTCGGAATGAGTCAGCTTGCGGCGCGTGCCGCGCAGCCTGCAGGGCCCCGGCCGACCCGGCGGACCGACCCGGCGGGCCGAGGGGCGAATCGCAGCAGCATCTCGCGATACATAATGCAGGCGACGACGGTGCAGCCCGGCCCGGCCACGCCGGCCCCGTCAGGGCGTTATGCATGCAGAGATGACTTACTGGCGCGCTCGATGAGGGGGTGGGGCGGGGCAGGCGGGGCGGGCGGGGCGTGGCCCCTCGGGCCTCGGACCGGCATGATGTGCTGCTTCGCTGTTCCGTACGTCTCGCGAATCCGCCAGGGGGCACGGGGGAATCCATCGCTAAAGAAAAGTTGAGAAAGTTCGACGGTGCGACTGTTAGGAACTTGGATAGATCGACCTGTTCGTAACGCTTGGCGCCTTGCCTTCTCGTCCGCAGACTGCGAGTCGCTGATCCGCAAGATGCTGGTGCTGGACCCGGCGCGGCGCTACACCGTGGAGGACATCAAGTGCCACCGCTGGATGCTGGCCGAGCCGCCACACCTGCTGCCCGGCAGCGCGCCCTGCCCCGACTCCCTGGGGAGCCTGCCGCTGCGGCCGGAGCCCAACGAGCAGATCCTGCGGCTCATGCAGAGCCTGGGCATCGACTCGGTCAAGACGAGAGACGTGAGTAGCGAGGGGAACGAGAGGGTGCGCGTCGACGGCCTGGTACACTGCACTGTGGACTTGTTTCTTGTCGGCAGTCGCTGCTGCGGAACAGCTACGACCACCACGCCGCCATCTACTTCCTGCTGCTGGAGCGCGTCAAGGCGCACCACCAGGGCCGCTCCTACTCGCTGCAGCAGCAGCACGACCTGGCGGGGTCCGCGTCGCCCGCCTCGGGCGTGGCGTCTCCCATCCCCAGCCCCGCCAAGCACGCCGTGTCCGAGTCCCTGCAGCGGCGGCGGCCCAGCACCATCGCGGAGCAGGCCATGCGCAAGCTAGGCCTGGGCCTCGCCTACCAGACGGGCCAGTCGGGCCAGCAGGGCCACTCGTCGCTGTCGGCGGCCTCGTCGGGCACGTCGGACTTGGGCGGCTCCACGGTCACCGTGCACGGCGGCCACACGGGGTCCTCGGTGCGGCGGGCGTCGGGCTCGGGGTCCGTGGCGACCATGTCGTCGACGATCGGCGAGCAGCAGGGCGGCGCGGGACGCCTGCCCTACAGCGCGCAGCCCCTCGTCACCGCCGTGTCCACGGCCTCGGCGGCCGCCTCGGCGGCGCTCTCCGGGCTGCCGCACGACTTCCGCGACTACACGCCCTACCCCAACCCCGCCTCCACGACGCCCAGCAGCGGCAGCAGCGCCTTCGGACTGTCCGCCACCACCACGTCGGTCGTGTCGGCCAACGCCACGGACTCGCCCTCCTTCACCCTGAGCCAGGGGCTGGGCAGCAACAACGTCTTCACTAGCGGCCGCATCGCCACGGCCGCCCTCCACCACCCACCGCCATTCCGGGAGCAGGCGCAGCACAGCCAGACGCTGCAGCTTCTCCAGCAACAACAACAACAGCAGCAACAACAGCAGCAGTTCACCTCTGTGGGCTCCACGGAGGTGATGCCCGAGTACCTGCAGAGCACGCGGTACGGCTCGGCCTCCATCACGCCGCAGTGCTCCACGTCGACGGACGAGGGCGTGGAGACGGACATGGAGGACGCGGGCCCGCACTCGCACCACCACCGTCTGTCCTCGTACGCGTCCTCGTCGTCGTCCTCGGGCGTGGGAGGCGTGGGGACAAGCAACGGCGCCAACAAGAGCCTCAGCCAGCACCTCAGCTCCGACTCGTCCTGTTCCGAGTTCCTGTTCGAGAGCCTGGACTACCAGCTGGACCCGGAGCTGGCCGCCAGCCTGCCGTCGTGCACATCCCCGCCGTCGTCCAACGCCACGCTGCGCACTGAGCACGCCGCCATGCCGGCCAGCACGAGCGCCATCCACACCCACGCGTCGTACGGAGGCAACACCGTGACCTCGGGCTCGGGAGGCATGGCGTCCACGCGGCCGCTGTTCCGGCACAGCCCGCTGCTGCACCACCAGCACGGCGGCATGGGGTTGACGTCTCGCGCCCTCACCAGGTCGCCGGTGGACTTCCGCGAGGGCCGGCGCGCGTCCGACGGGTTGGTGGCTCAGCAGGCGGCGGGCGGCGCCGTGGAGCGGGCCGTGTACGGCGCGGGGCTCGGCACCTGCGTCGGCGCCGGGCTGGGCCTCGGGCTGGGCGTGGGCGCGCTCGGCGTCACCACCAACCAGGGCCTCGTGGCCTTCAACAGCCAGCGCCTGCACGAGGCGGGCAAGGCCAAGGGCGTCATGGAGCTGCACCTGGTGCAACAGGAGCACGCCGCGCTGCAGAACCTCTACCAGCGCGCCGTGCCTCAAGAGGAGCTCCAGCAGCAGCAACAGCAGCACACGCAGTACCAGGACCGGAGCTCGCACCACAGCCCCCACGGCCAGCACTGCCTGGGCCAGCACCCCATGCCAAAGAGGATCTCCCTGCCGGAGAACTTTAACTTCTCCAGCCTGGACGGCGACCAACAGTCCCAGTCGCAGCCGGCGCTGACCCAGGAGCAGGCCCTGCACCAGCTGCAGCAAGTGCAGCAGCAGCTTCAGCAGGCGCAGCAACAGCTGCAGGCCCAGCAGCAGCAGCTGCAGGCACAGCTGGACAACAGCGCGCCGCTCAACGGCAACTGCAACAACAACGCGTCGGGCAACTCCAGCAACTCGGGCAGCGCGTCGCCGTCGCCGTCGTCGTCGCCGTGCCCGCCGCAGGCCGGCAAGCTCAACAACATGGGCGCGCCGCTGCAGCAGCAACTCCTGCAGCACCGCCTGCTGCAGCACAAGCGCCAGATCCTGCAGAAGCAGCAGTCGGCGGGCGACGCGGCGGCCGCGGCGGGGCAAGGCGGCGCCGGCTCCGCGGCCAACGCGATGCACCTCACGCGGCGGCAGATGCTGCGCCAGGCCTCCTACAAGCTGGCCCAGCAGGCGCCCCTGGCGCTGCCGCCGCTGCCGCCCGCTCTGGCCGACCCCTCCTGCTTCCCGACCATCGCCGAGGACGCCCAGAGCCCCACGGAGGTCTCTCAGCACCCCTGGCCCGGCGGCTGCGGTCGCATGCTGCCCAACGTGCCGCCCCAGGTGTACGGCCAGCACATGCAGCAGCAGCAGCAACAGCTCGGCCTTCAGCAGCAACAGCAGCAGCCGGCACAGCAACAGCAGCAGCAGGAGACGGGGGAGCAGTGCTGGAACTCGCTGCCGCACACGCTGGCCGCCGCGTGCCACATCAGCGACTGCGGCACCCCTTGGCAGCAGCAGGGGCAGCCCCTGTACTCGTGGAGTGCGAGCCAGCAGGTAGCCGCCAAGTGCCACGAACAATAATTGTTGTTGTTGTTGTTGTAGCTTTCGGCACCGCCCGCACCGCCCTGAGGCCCCTGAGGGCGTGGCTGTAGTTTAGAGCGCCACGGCCTTCCCGGGCCCGACTTTGTGATAATGTACAGTAGCGACATGCCTCTTTAGAACGCTTTCACGTCGGATACTGAATGACTGTTGTTGTTGTTGTTTTCTTTGATTTATTTTTTATTTGCCAAGAGACAATGTGTGTTACAATTGTGGTTTTCAATGAGAGATGTATAACAATGTAGCGCTCGCTTTGGTAGATCTCATTTTATGCTTCTGAGGAAGGTTCTTGAAGATACAGTGAAGACTGTGGCCTCGTCGCATCACACCGTGTAGCACGCTGCGTAGTAGGTCGCACTCATGCAAGTCGTGGACGGGTACACTCTTGCTCGAAACAAAATTATTTTTGCTTTGTATTTTTTGTTACACTTTTGGACAATTTTTATTTAGTTTTTTTTTTTCGAGCCGACGAACAGGGCACTGTGGGCCTGCAGCGGAGCGAGTCGACAAGACTCACCCATTTTCGCCATACATCTCAGTATTGAATGACGTCACCGGCTGAAGCCAGGAACGCCATAGGCTGACGCCGGCAACCAGGGTAAACCTGGGCAAACCAGGGTAAACCAGGGGCGTCGCAACCGGCAGTGGGGCGTTTCAAGCGTGTAACTTTAATCTTTTCATGAAGGCTGTGCAATGCATTACCACCAAACTAGCGTGCGGGGCTCCTGTTTCGGTCCCGACGCGTCCCAGCTGGTCCCAGTCCAGATTCCAAGTTCCTGTCGTTGCCCTGGCAACACTATGTGTGAAAGGTGTAGGAAGGGGACGCACAATGGTGCGGGACTGTGTGGACATGACTAAATCACGTAACCAAAGGTTCTTCTCGTCTTACAAGATAAGTTATATTGTTAACAACAACCAAACACATTTCATATAGACTATACTTTCAATACTTTGTAGTTGATTTGTTTTAATAATTATTAATCAATAAATATCGCATCTTTTGTTCGTTCTTTTGTTGTGTCTTTGTTGACGATGTGTTTCGTACGAGTTGGCGATATGGAAAGACTGGAAAGATGTACAATGTGAAATACATTTTCATTTTTAGTGAAAACTTGAATTTGCTTTTGATTATCTTTTTGCGCGCACCCGTATACGTATAAAGCTTTGCATGTAGTATTATATTTTGCAAACAAAACTGCCAGACTTGGAGTAGAGATTACACAGCTTCATTGCGCACACGTACTCAAACACGTATCAGCTACATCGACGTCGGTGCCGATTTGGTTGACTGTATGCCCAATTTGACCCATCGGACCCACGCGCTGTACGCCAGGCGCAGTCGCGCTGAAAGTGCATGCGCGCAGCTTTAACAGATGGCTTGATCTAGAACTAGAGGCAACCAGAGCGAATTCACGAAGAATGGGGTGGCACCTCAGGGCCAGAGCCTTTTAAATGCCTTTTCGGACCTGCTTCCGGCGTTGCGGCCTTGGACAGGAAAAAAGTGCGAAGAAAGAAAGTTGCAAGGTGGAAAAGTGCGCTGATGTGAAAAATCTTTTGTGCAAACAAGAAGAATAAGAGAACCGAGCCCCCTCCCCTTGGTCCGCGCTCCGCAGCCCCGGCCGGCCTCGGCCCCACTCAGAGTGGAAGATTGTTCACACCACCCGCACTTCTTCGCTCTTTGCTCTTCTTCCTCCTTGTCTGGAAAATGCACAAAGTGGCCCAAATAAAATTACCCGTATAAAACCTCTCTTTTTTTGTAAATACATTCATATTTAAAAATGGCGCTGAAAACTGGTGACCTGCGGGCAGAAGAGTGTGTCTAGCAGCCGGCCGACCACACCACACCTTGGTTCTTCCGGTCCGGCCCCAGGGCCCGAGCGCTGAGCTAGCTAGACACTGACGATGACGACGGTGGTTGCTTTACAGACGCTGCAGTCGGGCTGGCCCACCATGCCCAGCATGGCCACCATGGCCGTTCAGGGGCTGCAGCACGTGCCGGCCTCGCTGCAGAGCTTGCAGGGCCTCCAGGCCGCCATGCAGCCCTCCATGCAGTCCCTGAACGAGGTGCCGCTCCTGGAGCTGACGGAGCAGGACGCCATCTGAGAGTACGAGGGGGCGGCCGCCCATTACGCGGGCCCGCCCCCTCCCAGCAGCGGCAACCAGCACAGCCACCAGCACAGCCACCAGCACCCCCAGGGCCACGGCGGCCACGGCCGGGCGCACGGCCTGCTGGGCCTGCCCCCGCCGAGGAGGCTGCTGCCCGCGGTGCCCGGCCGGCCCGCGTCCACCTCCACGTCGTCCCCCAACTTGCTCAACTCAGCCAGGCAGTAGTGGGCGGAAGGGGAAGAGACCTGGGTGTCTACGGCCAGGCACGAGTAGCATTCCCTCAACGAACCCGCTGCCCCATCGACGGACACCCCCAATCGTTGATGTTGTCTCTCGTTTTTGCCGAAAGCGGTGAGAAAAGGACGCACATCCTTTGCCTCTCGCTAACCATATGGCCCCGCGTGGTAGCAGAAGCTGGCGCCAAATTTGATGCCACGTACATTTAATTCAGTCTCCGCGCCGCAAGTCGAATGGGTTGCCTATCCTCTAGGCGAGTGGGAAGCAGGCAGGCTAAACGACGTGCCGATATTTATTTACGTCACTGGACCTAAACTGACGCAGTCTCAATCAATAAATGAGACTGATCTGATTATATTATTTGACGTTTTCTTTTTTTTTTCTGGGTTGCCTGCTTACGCTTCTCAAGATTCGACTATGGTACTCAAGGGAATGATGGGAAGCACGAGGGGAAAGGAAGAAAACTAAACATGAATGGTGGATTTGCTGACTCTTGATTTGAAATGAATTTGTCCCGCATTGCTCAAAACAGCACACACTATCTTTGTCAGCGGCACATCACTGTTGTCATGTGTCAAACTTTATTTCATTTTTCTTCTTTGTATCATTGGAGTCCAAAATTAAGTTATACTTCAATTGCCGTTTTTGGTCTAAATAAATAAGGTTTATATACGTTGGTTGATAGACAAGCAATGCCATTGCAAAATGTAGCTTTAAGACCTTTAAGAAGTGAACTAAAGTGGCACAAAAACACTTTAAGGGAAACTTTCTGACAATAAAGTTGCTTCTTATTTATTTATTCATACATATCTTCATGCTTTTTTGGGGGAAACGCTGGAGTCCTTCCCTCGCGGGAAGGGAGCTCCAGTAGTGAACCCTGCTTTATGTAAGACTTTGTTATTAGCACTTGTTATGTGCAAGATATCTCTGTATTGTCAACAAAATTTCATACTGAACAAATATGCCTTAAATGTTTGAGCCTAGTCATTTGAATTTCATTGTTTTTGTCCTTATATGAAATGGGCATACATATCATTGTACAATACAATACTAGGACAATGCTTGCATAATCATCTCTTATTTAAATCAATCATAAGTATAAATATCACCTCCAGACTGATGATCACAATCCTACTCCAGGAACATTCAGAGCAGGCAGAAATGAATAAACACTGTTTTGTTGCCAAGATACTGGTATTGTATTTCAACAGATGGAAGCAACTCATTGGGCCATTCTTGTTGGCTTGAATGCATTTATAGTTATGCCACAACACTGAGCGCAATCAACATATAACATCTATATGCACCAAGCAATTTAAAGACTTATACAAAAAATTCCCTTTGCTCTGCAAAACCAGCATATCAAATATTTCATTTCACAAACACATAATACAAACACATAGAGGCATTTGGCCATTTGTGCAAACGCAATAATATTTATAAGGTAACCTTAGGATCTCATGTCTACATGTAAATCATGACATGCTTTTGTAATTCGTTTATTTTGTAAACTATTAGCAACGCTATTCTGCTGGTCGGAATACTGTTCAATGCTGTATTAAATATAAGCTTTAATCAAGTGAAAAAAGGGCTGTTGTAATATTAAATGACTGTGGTTCTAAATCACTCTTGAATTTCAACAAAGAGAAGGCACAACTTTTTTTTACATATCCTGAGCAGAACCAAATGTTTTATAATATCACACGAATAGAAGTACTCCCTATCAGACACAGGAAAATTGAGGGCATTCAGCGGTAACCATTTGTTTCACCATTTCCTGACTTGGAAGCAAAAAACCCAGAACCATGAATTTATCAATATTGGTAGATTCTTTCTTTTTCATAGGTCTTAGGAAATAGCGAGAGCCCTGAATGTAATGATGAAATATGTACTGTATGTAATGTAGCTCATTAGATATCAACCATTTGGTACATACTACATTAAATAAATAAAAAATGAATTACCATGTTGTTAAAGAATTCTGGAATTTACTACCTCTGCAATCTCAACTCCCCTGACATATAGTACACTTATATACATGTTGGTAAAAATATATGAACAGAAAGATGTACTAAGGCATCTAAAGAATTAAGCAAACAGCAAAACTGTTACCAGGCAATTAGTTAAGTAGAACTGAACTAGTTGACAACAAGCACTGCAAAGGCTCAAGGTTTCATCTGAAGATAGTAAGAACCAAACTTATTCTTGAAAAGCAACAGACTTCCTTTATGAATAGTACTCACATTGAGTGACACTCGACCAATAGATTCTAGTCAGACAATTGTAACGCAATTGTATAAGCCTTCCTTTCCTTAATGTTTTCATTTGACTTTATTTAATTTTAACACTATAACTGGGACATGTCAACCAAGCACTGAAGGCCAATATTTCAATTCTCATCAACATGTTCATAACAGCTCCTTCCTCCAGTTTTAAAAACATTTCATAATCTTTAATATAGCAATAGCGTCAACTTTTACCCTTTTGCTTTAAAGAAAGCTAAACAACAGAGCAGTAAACAAATGCTAATTTACTGTCAAATAGACATAAAATGCTCATAACACATAGATTTTGAAAAGGGCATATCTAAAAATATTATTACTTTTAAAAGGGTAGGACAAAGTTTGAGGTATACACAATATCCATAGCAAGATTGAAGCATACTTAAAGTAGTCAAAACCAAATAAGTATTAAGTTTACTTAAAATTTTGTAAAAATGCTTTGATGCATGGAAGGTCTCTTTTGAGCCATGCTGCATTAATTCGTATTCTTTCCACAGTTTGCTGGACAGCTCGCTCTGCTCCACTGGTATTGTTTTCTGCGAAGAATTTCTCGACTTCAACAGCCATCTCTTCTGAGGCATAGTGTGAAAAGGAAGCAGAGATGAAGCCCGACAGAATAACAGGTGTTCCCTAGAAAATAAAAAGGTGAGTTATAAAAAAAAAAAAAAAAAAAACACATTGAGAAACTCTATGTTTTTACAAAAAATAGGGAGTACTTGGAAGGTGACACCTACATATTTCTTGTGAATTTCATCCCAGTTGTTTTTCACATAGTCCCAAACCAAATCACGGCCTTTCCGGGACTGAGCAATGGCGCCCATGAGTGTTAGAGTAGTTTGCCTCCTAACCTCGTCCTGTAAGAGATAATGACATAATGAACAGTTTCATAAGGTTGCAAGATCATTTCACTTCAAAACCTGTGCCAGTACAAAAACTTACAGTCAGGGCAAAGTTGAGAACTTCTTTATGAAGAGATTCATTTCGAATCGCTGCAAGGGCATGCAAAATTCTCTCTTTCTCTTCTTGAAGTGTTTCTTGTCTGTACAACTAAAAAGAGAGGGAAAGCTATGATTGGCACATTTGTATCATCAAATACCTTTGGAGGAAAAGTGTTAAAATTACCGTCAAGAAAGTTTCGTAAGTTGCAGCATCAGCACTCCTCAAGACAGTTTTGTAGACTGTGCTTCGAATATCAGACCACAAGGGAGCTGAACCATTCTTGTGGGCTTCGAATCGCGTGTGGCATTCAGCAACACTAGCTTCATCTTCAAAGGCATATAGGAGATCCAGGATAACATTTCGAAGAAGCTTGTCCTTGTGACCTATCAACAACACAACATGAACATGAGTAAAGGTAAAAAATAACTGCCAACACAACATGGATGAGTGCAAACCTTCATCAGGGCGAGGATCCCATGAAACAGTTGAAGCAATATTTGCAAGCAATCGGCGACCAAAGTTAATGAAGTTGGGCTGAATATCTGGGGCATATTGCAGAAGCATTCTGATCTTGCTGAGCACTGATGTCATTGAAGACCAAACAGTGCAGTTGTCCTCATTCTGCATTGCTTCCAGCAAGAGCAAAGCTTGGTCAGTACTGGTCTGTCCGGATTGAACCTGAAATGGGAATCCAAGAATCATCAGTGTGATCAAATTCACCTCAGGTGCTTGCTTCCATAGAGTGAACAAAAAGCTTACAAGAGCAAACAAATCGCCAAGGAGACCAAGACGGTCCAAAGGTGGAAGAGACAAGTCAGCTACAGCCGGTTTGAACTTCTGGAGCATTTCAGTGGAATACTGAACTCTGTAAAAGCCAGCACTGCCCGGGTTGAGTTTCACCCAATCATTTTCTCCCACTCCACTGATCACCACTTCAGCTTCTCTCTTGTCCAATAACACTTCATGAAGAACTTCATTAGGTGCTTTTGATGAGCTGAATTCAATAGGCACCATCCACATTTGAGATTCTGAAAAAAATTATTTTATGGAAAAAAACATTCAGATTGAAAAAAGTAAAGTTATTGTGTTTTTTTAAATGAGAATTAAAATATTTACTCACCTCCAGAGCTAGGACTACCATCAGCCCAATACTGAGTCTGTTTTAAATAAAACTTCCTATTGTTGCCATCCTGCTCACTTCGAACAGATATAACAGGATAGCCCATCTGCCTAGTCCAGAGTGACATAACTGAGGAAATAGGCTTGTTGGAGACCTCTTCAAGAGTTGACCACAAGTCATCAGTGGCAGCATTACCATATTTGTATTTATTGAAATACAGATTCATGCCCCTGGCAAAATCCTACAAAAAATTAAATATTTTTTTGTTTTTTAAAAAAAGAAGAGGAAAAGTTAAGGTGTTCCTTTGATTTACAAGAGACAGTTAGACCCATAATCGAATACTCACAGCATCACCAATGTACCTATGCAACATTCGTATGACTGAAGCACCTTTGCTGTAAGATATGTCATCAAATATTTCGTCAACTTCAAGGGGATGACCCACTGGTACCTGAGAAGTACAGACATAATCAATTATAGCTTCAAATGTCATATTTAAAATTAAAAAATTTAAAAAAAGAGGAAATACACAGAAGAACAATATAATCGTACCTCAATTGGATGACTGTTTTTCAAAGCATCTAACTTGAGAGCAGGGCTCCAAGTTTCTGTGACAAACTGAGTCCACATGTCATACTCTGGAAACAAGCTAGCCACACAAAGGAACTCAGCAAACGTGGCATAACCTTCATTCAGCCACAAATGAGTCCACCATTCCTAAGGAGAAAAAAAATATTATGCTGAATAATGACAGTACTGTAGAGTCTTCAACAAAAGAGCCACTAAAGACTATAAAATAACTTACCATGGTGACCAGATTGCCGAACCACTGGTGAGCCAATTCATGGGCAACAATCAGCGCAATCCACTGCTTTCTTTGCGTTGAAGTCATCAATTGATCAACCAGTAGACATGTCTCCCTGTACGTCACAAGGCCCCAGTTTTCCATGGCACCTTAAGAATAAAAATCACCTTGTAAGATAAATATTATAAAATAAAATGAAGACAGAAAGTATTAAGTTTACCTGCAGCAAAACTGCCAATAGCAATCAGATCCATTTTTGGAAGGGGATATGGCATTTTGAAGTACTCCTTGTAGTAAGGGAGCACTTTCACAGCTACTTCCAATGCGAACTGTCCTTGCTCCTGCTTTCCGACAGGAGTGTAAACACGGACTCTAATGCCCTCTGGTGTGAAGTCCTCAATGTAATCAAACTCTCCAACCACAATGGCAACTAAATAAGTGGACATAATGGGAGTCGTTTCAAATTTGACAAGCCTGTTTCCATCAGGAAGGTCTTCTTCTTGTTTCACAGGCTGAGGAAAAAGAGAAGCAGAGGAAAAAAAAATCAAATTTTCTAAATTTAAGTCTTAAGATAATTTGAGTAATGAGAAAATATAAATACCATGTTAGACAAGGCAACTCTGTTCTTTGGAACAGCAAGAGTAATATCAAAAGATGCTTTGATGGCAGGATCGTCCCAACAGGGGAAACACCGATGAGCATCACAAGCTTCAAATTGAGTGACTGCACAGTAGCGCTCCTCATTGGTGTCATGACTTCAAACAAAAATGAGTACAGAAATGATTAAAGAGTAACTGTTAAAATTATAAGATAAAGACACAAACTAAATTTTACCTCGTGTATTTACTGCGGTACAGCCCCTTCAAGCTGTCATTTAGCTTTCCGCTGAATTTCAGGGTGAATTTGCACTTTCCAGTGGGTACTTCTGAAGAAAACACCAGTGCAATGGTTTCACAGTCATTGACAGATGTGTCAACCTCAGTCGCCTTGATAGCGCTGCCATTGCTAAGTTCCAGTGTGACATCCTTTTCAACTTCAAGATCAGAACTGTTCAGAACAATACGCTTAGTTGGCTCTTTCACCTGGAAACAAGAAAATCCAGAATGTCAAATTTTTAAACATAAAAGAGGTCAAAAAGATCTGAAACCTAACTACGCAACACTGAGAGGGAGGAAAAGGACAAGCAAACAGCCATGACAGTGTGTATTAACCAAAATTTTGAAGTAAGGGCACAAATATAAGGGAATACTTCTATCATTAATCAGGATGCCTTATCTCATGAGTCATCATTCGGGCACCAAAGGGACCACATCACCGGTGCCGTCAGGTTATGTTTACATTACTTCTACAACGGGATACTGGGGAAGTGTGGCAGGAAGGTCCATGAAAACCCCAAAACCACCAAACCCCCAAACCAATGCACCCTTACCTTTCCCCAAGTGGACAGGTGCCCGTGCCCGCTTGGAACCCGCATTTTTTAAAAAAAGGATCGTCCTTAAAATAAAAACAAGCAAAGGGTTTTTTTGGGGACCCCCTGGGGCAGGCCCGCTCGAAGAACGGGGTTTGGGAAAAACCGGTTTAGGGCCGGCCTCCCAAGGGGAGTTGAAACAACCTTCCTTTGCGTTGACGATGGACACCGACGGGAATGGGCAAGTGCTTACAAAACAGCCTGACTCTTGTACGCTCCTACGAAACCCTAACCACAAATTCAAGGCCAAAAATTTCTTTTCCTTGTGGAAAGGCCGCCTTCGCACGAAAAGGGACTCAACTCAAATGGGGGAACAATGGGGCAAAAGGTTTGGTCAGGGCCTCCTAGTGGGTTTTTTTCTGAGTTTTAAAAGAATCAGTATACCTTTGGCCGCAGTTTTGTATGGTCTTCGGATCAAGCAGTTCAGTTGAGTTCTGTACGTCAGTCAGTCAAGTACAGTTCTGAATACACAGTCTATGGAGCACCATCTTAGTCTTGATTATTCCAACGACTCCATCCTGAATCCAAGGACATCCTCCTTATCCACCAACCAACACCAAACATGATATTGGCGACGAGGATCAGCGTAGAGCGTCTCTCAAGTTATCCAACTTCTACGATGTCAACGTGCGAGATGGCTACGATCGAATTTCACGTGGAAAGGTGGAAGTGTCATCTGTCAAATGGAGTCAGTTCGGCAAATGGATTCTGTCGAGGATGTTGGACATCAGCCTCATGTCAGGTTGTACCGCGTGTGTCACTGTCATACCACGTGTTCAAAGAGGTTAGAAACTGTCAGTCCTGTGTCATCGATGTGTGTCTCCTGTAAGAGTTAAGTAGCCTGTGTCTGATGTACCAGCTACTGTGTGACTGTGATATTCAAAGTAAATTGTCTGTGATAGAGCACCTTGTGTGTCTCACCCCAACCCGGTCTGATCAACCGTGTGTTTGTTTTAATGTCTCGCCAAGTCTCGTACCTCTGGCTGTAAGTGTTCAGTAACAATTCTGTTACTCGTATTGTGTTTAATTAGTTAAATTCTTTCATGTTATTGCGCAAATCAAACTAGTAATAGTGAGCTGAGGGGAGTGCACGCCCCAAGGCAAGCTAAGTAGCTACTATCAGTCAGTCAAATCCATGGTCATTCAATTTTACTGTGTTAATTTTGAGTGAAGTCAAACACATTTTGTGTTAGTGTAATCTGGGTGTAAGGGACGCCTTCACTCTAGTCGTGGTTCCACATTACATATGTTTCGTCAAAATCCAAGTCTTGGTGAGGTATGTTAACACCTCGTTATTATCTCAGCTATGGCAAGTCTATGCCTAGCACTCAACCCATTGTGGTGTGGTTATGTCAATACCATTTGTACAGCCCAATGTGGTGGTGTCTGTCTGCAGTTGTCTGTCTGCATGACTAGTCTTTGTGTTTCAAGTCCGCCTGTTGTTTGTCAGTGTGGTTAATCGTTGTGTGTCAGTTTAATCGTAAGTCTTGTTCAAGTCGAGTAAATGTGTCAAGTTTCATTTCTCGTAAATTCAGTGTGATACTCAAACATTTGTTTTGTGAGTGACGTTCGTGTCATAGTGACATTCTTGTTTGTAGTGAGGTAAATTGGTTTGGTTCAGTGTTTGCTAAGGCCCTCGGGCAACCTTCCAAATTGCTACTGTGTTCGGAGTCTTGTTTGCTTTTCATGCTCCTATGTATTAGTCAACTCACTTACATTTGTCTTTTGTGTCTGTTTGTCAAACGTTCATCATTGTCTACTCTAGTACTAATTGTTATTTTTTCCTATGTCGTTATGTAGGTTTTTTTTTTTTTGTCTTTCTGTGTAACATGTTCATGTAGTTCGTCTGTGATATTACATTTAGTTGTGTGAATGTGTGTGTACCTAATCATAAGTGTTTTAAAATAAAATGGTGTCTCCAAACTCCAAATACCCGTTAATACATAAGTGTGATGATGCTTCACTTTGCTTTTCTTTGTTACATTATGGTTCAGTTAATTTTTTTTGTGTTGTGAGAGGGAGGATAGTAGTAGTATTGTGGTTCAGTGTTGTCAGTTTGAGTTATATTCGAGTGTCAAACGTTAATAGTTAATTAAGTCAGTTAATGAAGTCATACATATTTTGAGTTGTGTGTAAGCTTAAGTAGTTCTCGTAAAGTCAGTGTCTTGTTATACTGTTAAATACTAGTCCTATCCTACTGCGTCATCGTGTAAATTGTAAATGTCAGTTGTGAGTGATTTTAAACATAAAGTAACAAGGGGGAGGATATGGTGTATGGTCACGGCCTCCTAGATGGGGTTGTCTGAAGTTAGTAAGAATCATGTATACCTTGTCATGTCAGTCTTGTATGGTCTTCGGATCAAGCAGTTGAGTTGAGTTCTGTACGTCAGTCAGTCAAGTACAGTCCTGAATACACAGTCTATGGAGCACCATCTTAGTCTTGATTATTCCAACGACTCCATCCTGAATCCAAGGACATCCTCCTTATCCACCAACCAACACCAAACATGACACAAACAAGCGAGGGGAGAGGAGGGGTAGGGTGAGTACGCGAGAGGAGGGAGGGGGAAGCGCGACCTCCACTCTCCGTGTCAAACGGTACCAAACGGGTGGTAAAGGCATTCACTTTTCTCTGCAAACACTTTCTAGCGGAAGCCTAGCGGAGAACTAGAGTGCCCAGGACATGAGGCCTGCCGTACGAGTGCCTATGAGCAAGAAAAAAGAGCGCTTAAAAAAATGGAGCCAGAGCGAGAGCGGGTGGAGTGGGAGGAGATTACCGGTTTGAGTTGTGGTAGAGGCGTCCCGTACCGTTAGTCGGTCCGTTCCGTTACCTTGGTCCTTTGCTTTCATAAAGGAGGGCCGGCTGGCGCAGGGCGCGCAGGGTGCAGGTGTAAGGGCTGGTAAGCCGGCACGGCGGTGCAGGAATGTGTCCGGGGAGGACGACTACAACGAGTGGAGTAAAAACATTGTGAACTGATTTATTGATACATGAAAACATAATGACAAACATGGTGAACATGTGATAAAACAGAGAATGAAATGTCAAAATTGCTTGAGGGAAGTTTACGACATGAAAGTGAATAACGTTAGATACACAGTGTAGAATACGAATGAACTAAGATATTTACAGCAAGTCTTGAATAAATATTGTTGATGAGTTTTGGTATTCACAGCCAAGAAATAAAAATTTAAAAATTCGTTGGTACTAACACTAAACAAAATTTATGCAAACAATTGCCTGTTTTTATTAATTTTTAACTAAACAATAATTTTTGGCCCATACACCCAATAAAGAAAAAAATTACACAGACGTAAAAGTTTCTCCCAGAATTAGAAGAGAAATATCCAAAATTAGAAAGACAACTAGTATGAATACGTTTCGACAACCATCCAGGGGCAATGGGTTTGTCAAACCACCAAAATTTAAGTTTAAGGAGACCTATATGCCTCATTGTGCAATTCTATATCATACTAATCAATACGATTTTTTTCATAAATAGAAAAGTGGTCAGACGTACAGGAAGAAAAATTTATTTAAAATTTTCCAAAAATGATTTAATGCAAGTAAGGTCCCTTTTGAGCCAGGCAGCATTGATGCGAACTCTCTCTATGGTTTGCTGCACAGCTCTTGCTGTTCCCCTTGTATCATTGGTCACAAAGAAATCTTCTAGTTGGTCCGCCATTTCTTCAGTTGCAAAATGTTGGAAAGAGGCTGTTATGAAATGTGACAAAATAACAGAAGCCCCCTGTAACAGAAATGAATATGTTTTTGATCACCTCTTTTGCTTTTAAAGTGCTTTCTATTTTGGTTTTTAAAAGAAGAGACAATTTGTCTTACATATTTTGCATGCAGCTTATTCCAGTTCTCTTTAGCATAAGTCCAAACAATTTCTCGACCCTTTGATGACTGGGCAATAGCACTTAGTATACTTAATGTTGATTGTGATCGCACTTCATCCTGTCAAAAACATTTAAATAATAATAACAAAGCACATAAAAATGATTCTGCCATAACACATTTTCTCTAATTGATACATTACTCACAGACAGAGCAAACATTAAGACTTCCTTCAGGAGATCTGCATTTTCAATAGATGCAAACGCATGAGAAATTCTTTCTTTCTCTTCTTGAAGAGTCTCCTCTCGGTACATCTTTGCAAGAAAAAAGAGAGGTTCAGAATTAATAATTTTAGAATAATTTGGATTTTTACTACTTGCCACATGTCTCAAATCAAGCACCTTTAAAAATATTTCATAAGTAGCTGTGTCAGCTTTGCTCAGAACAGCTCGATATACAGTGCCTCTAATATCTGGCCACAGAGTGGCAGTGCCATTGGCATGAGCCTCGAAACGCCTTGATGATTCTTCTCTTGCTATATCATCATCAAAATTATGAAGCAACTCAAGTATGACATTACGGAGCAGTTTGTCTTTGTGACCTGAACAAAGAAACAATATAATAATCAATGAGAATGAGAAATTAAAGGTAAAGTGACTGAGAAGCAGTTGACGTACTCTCATCTGGTATAGGGTCCCAAGAAATTGACTGTCGCAACTGCCCCAGCATGTGGCGACCAAAAGCCATAAACGAAGGGAGAACATCTTCAGCATACTCTAAGAGCTTTTGAAATTTAAACAGAACAATGGCAATTTCAGACCAAACTATATAGTTGGACTCGTTCCTCATTGCATCCAAGAGACGTAAAACCTGGTCACTGGAACACTGACCAGCTTGAACCTTAGAAAAAATTTAAAAAAAAAAATTAATTATGCATTGTTTTAAGAAATAAATGAATAAATACCATATAAATTTTCAATGGGCAAAGTAAGAAGCATACCAATGCAAAAAGGTCATCAAGGAGTGTAAGACGATCAATTGGTGGAAGTGAGCAATCTGAAACAGCAGGTTGTAGCATTTGCAACATTTCTGAAGAATAATGCACTCGATAGAAGCCAAAGCTTCCTGGATTCAATTTTATCCAATCTGTAGGCTTGACATCATCAATAAATATGGTGGATTCTCTTGTGCTCAACACAATCACATGCACACTTTCATTAGGTACACTTGCTGTGCTAAACTCAATAGGCACCATCCAAAGCTTGGGTTCTGAGTAAAAAAAGGAAAAAACAAATTATTATCATTCTGAGTTTAGATCTGTGATCAGAGAGGTACAATTTAAAAATAGGCCAAACACACCATCTGGATCAACAGAAGCACCATCTGCGCGGAATGGAGACTGCTTCAAGTAAAATTTGCGCTTGTTTCCCACTACTTCACATCTTACTGAAACAACAGGATAACCCATTTGCCGGGTCCACAAAGGCATAACTTCAGAAATGGGTTTGTTGGATGCTTCCTCAAGTGCTTCCCATAAGTCATCTGTTGTAGCATTTCCATACTGGAAATTACTGAGATACAAATTCATCCCTTTGGCAAAGTCCTGTAACATGGAATTAACTGGTAAAATATAAGGTTATCAAGTAACATAAAATAATTAGATTTCACAAGAAACTTACCTCGGTTCCAATGTATCTATACAGCATACGAATCACAGACGCTCCCTTATGGTAGGATATATCATCAAATATTTCTTGAACCTCTAAAGGATGTCCAACAGGAACCTAGAGGGGATAAGTTTGTTAGACAAAGCTACAGTATTAACAGATGATACAAGGATTGTTTTTAAAATACCTCTATAGGATGACTACTCTTTAAAGCGTCCAATCTCAGAGCAGGACTGTATGTCTCAGTGACGAATTGGGTCCACATGTCATATTCCGGATACAGTTCAGCAACACAGAGGAACTCAGCAAATGTTGCATACCCTTCATTCAACCACAAATGAGTCCACCATCCCTGGACCGAAAAAAAATAAAATAAATAATTACAATAATAGTAATTATAAGAAGAAGAAGAAAGAAACAGAAATAGAGGAACAAATAAACATACCATAGTTACCAAGTTGCCGAACCACTGATGAGCCATCTCATGAGCCACATAGAGAGCAATCCCTTGTTTCCGCTGAGTAGACGTATTGTCAGGGTCAACAAGGAGGCACGTCTCTCGGTATGTAATCAAGCCCCAATTTTCCATTGCACCTTTACAACCATCATATTAAAGTGTTATTCATTTTAAGAGTCTAAAGATTGATGGCCAAAGTAGATAATAGAAAACAATACCTGCTGAAAAGCTTCCAATAGCCACCAGATCCATCTTTGGAAGGGGATAACTGATTTTGTAACAATTTGCAAAATATGGAAGCACTTTAACAGCTACTTCCAGAGCAAATTGACCTTGATCCTGCTTTCCAACTGGTGTATATACTCGAACACACACACCAGATGAAGTCATCTTTTCGATGAAATCAAACTCTCCCACTACCATAGCAACAAGATAAGTTGACATGATTGGGGTAGTTTCAAATCGGACCAGTCTATTTCCATCTGGTAGTTCCTCTTCATGGGTTACAGGCTGCAAAGATTTTTTTCAAAAGTCACTTCATTTACTTTCTGATATTTAATATTTTGATGCTTGTAATTAAACTGACCATGTTCGACAGCGCCACTCGGTCTTTAGGTACTGTAAGGGAGATGTCAAAAGTCGCCTTGATGGAGGGTTCATCCCAACAAGGAAAGCAACGATGTGCATAACAAGCTTCAAATTGAGTGACAGCACAGTAGCGTTCCTCTTTTGTGTCATGACTAGAAGAAAAGGTTTTGATATATTCTTAGATAAAGTTCTGTACTTTGTACATTGTTGAAAAAGGCTACAAACCTGATGTATTTACTGCGATAAAATCCCCTCAAGCCGTCATCTAATAAACCCCTGAAGCTTATTGACAATTTGCAAATTCCAGGGGGCACTTTGGATGCAAAAATGACTGCAGCAGTTTCGCAGTGGCACGATAATGTGACTTTGCTGGGTAAGAACAAGGTTCCATCTTGAAGGTGTAGTTCTATATGTAGCAGTTCGAGATCAACACAGTTGAATAGTAATCGATGAGTAGGTTCCTTCACCTAGAACATTTAAAGAAAAAGAATTATTATTTAGAAAAACCGACTGGGTTGCGAATATTTATGCCTCAAATTTTAACCAGAACACTACAAATGGTCTTTAAATGGATGAAAAAGTAAAGATAAAAAAGGTATTTTGTATAATATATAAGTAAGAAGCAGGACTAAAACTATTCCCAATGTCGAAATGGCTTTAAGAGACATGACAATGGACAGGGCTCGAAATATGTGATAAAAAGAACACAGCAAAGCCAGAAACATAACCACACCTGTCAACTCTCACTGGTTGACAGCAGACAACTTTTTCCAAAGTTGTGGTATCGCAGGTTATTGTTATGAACATGAGATATATTGAGTATTCCATGACAAAGGAACACCCACTCACTCCTGTCTTATCACACGGCGCGATCTTTCTAAAGTGCCCAAGGAGAACAGGGGGAAGGTTAAGCTACCGCTGCGGTCCCGCGCTACTACCCGGAAGTTAGCTACCCGACCCGCACCCGCGTCGGATATGACGGAAGGACGGGTCCATGCATGGCGCGACCGTCTGAATCTCTGCATCCGAAGGGGAAGCTTCGCGCTAGGCACCGGCTCACCTCCAGGTCCACCGTCACCTCGCCGTCGAACACGCACTTGACCAGGTCGGGCTTGAAGTGGAGCACGTAGTGCGAGGGCACGACGTGCGTGGGCAGCCTCTCGAACTGGTGGGGTAGGGCGTGAGGCATGGTCGACGGGATGAGCGAGACGCCCAGTGTCCAGGCCCGACCCTTGATCCAAAGGATCCACAGCGTCCCCGTCAAAAGCGGGGACTGGGGATGCCTTTTGTGTTGAAGGGTGGGACCAGCGCCACGGCGGCCGCGACCAGCACGAAGGGGAGGCGAGTGGCTGGCGGACGAAGCGGAGCGGAGAGTCCTCTCACTCCAGCTGTGCCTGTCCCGCTGCCTCTCCACGTCTCTCTCCAGCAGCAGCGTCCCCCGCGCGCCCCGTCTCTGTCCCGTTCGGGGGGTGGCTCGTGGCTCGGCTCGGCGTGCTCCGCGGGGTGGGTGGTGCATGGCAACGTGGGGCCGGGGCTAGGCCGGGGCCTCGAGCGCCACCTCCAGCGCTGGCCGCGACCGGGGACCGCAGTTTCGCGCACCGCGCACCGCCACTGCCCGACCCCGACCCACCCCCTGCCCTCGGCCCTCCGCGGCTCGACCCGACGCCCTGCCCCGCCTCGCCAGGGCTGCAGGGCTGGACGCGCAGAGTATTGGTTTTTAATGCGCGCCCGCTGAAGGCTGCAGGAAGCTGGGTTGCCTACTCCAGGAGCAACGACCCCGACCCACCCCGCGGTGCCGCGCTGCAGCGCCGTGCAGCCCGCCCACCCCGTTACCGTGCCAACCGTGCCCGGTGCGCGCTGCGATCGGCTCTTTGGCTGGACGCTGGGCTCGCTGGGTCTGGACATGGTCTGGACAGGGTCTGGATCAGCGCGGCTCGTCTTTGGGCGTTCGGCTTGGCTGGCTTGGCCTGTCAGGCACCTTGGCGGCGTTTAGGGGCGCGACGGAGAGCGGTTCCAATCTGGAGGACGAGAGGCGGAGGGGGCGGTCCTTGGTGCGAGCTGGCGATGCCATAGCGATGCCCGTTCCGTTTTCACCGTAGGCGCGGCAGTTAATCAGCGGCAGGGCGGGGGAAAGGCATGGTGCAAGACATGGATGGCCTGGGCTGGGCGCTGGGCAGCGCGCTGGGCAGCGCGTCGCGGCGTCGCGGCGTCCACTACCGTGACCACCACCTCCACCGCCGCCACCGTGTCCAACGGGCTGCTTAAATTGTGCGGCCCGGGGGCCCGGCGTGCAGTCAGCGTCCGCCCCGACCAGCGACCGCATCCCGCTGCATCCCGCCGCAGCATGCCAGCCATGGGTGTGCTGGTGCTGCCGTGCGCCGTGCTGCTGATGCTGCTGCAGGCGACGGCGGCGCGCGCGCAGGGCCCCATCGGCCCCATCATCATCAAGCCCGTCATCCCTCCGAGCGGCCTGCCGGCGTCGGCGAGCGCGGCCGCCGCCTCCTCCGACCTGCACTACGACGCCACGCTGGAGCACGTTGGCGCCGGGGTGAGTTGGCGGGGAAACGGTGTTCCCCGGGGACGGTTCGAACCCGCCACTACTTGTGTTGGTTGGTTGCAGTCGCGGCCAGAGTACGCGTTCGCGTACGGCGTGCAGGACCCCAAGTCCGGCAACGCGCAGAGCCACAAGGAGGAGCGCGACGGTGACAACGTGCGCGGCGAGTACAAGGTGCTGGAGGCCGACGGGTCCGTCAGGACCGTCACCTATACCGTGGACCCCAAGAACGGATTCCAGGTCAGAGCGCCGTTCCGGCAAGGATAATCTTTCCTTCTCGTTCTCTATAAAATCAAATCGATTGATGTTGTTTTCCAGGCGAATGTGCACCAGTCCGACCCGAGCCTGGCCGACGCCTACAAGGCCGCCGCCTACAAGGCCGACGCCAAGCACGCCAGCCAGAAGGCGGCCATCCAAGCGCCCGACTCCCCCATCGTCATCATCGGGGCTTCCGAGCCCTCTGGGCTTTCCGAGGCCATTTCGGAACCAATTTCGGAGCCCATTTCAGAAACCATCTCGGAGACCATCTCGGAGCCCATCTCGGACCCCAGCAGCGAGTACTTCTCCGGGTCGAGCTACACGGATTTTGAACCCTAGCTGCCCGACTCATACAGGAGAAGAAACTTTAGCTGGTAATCTGATTCTAGTCATTGGAGTGTTCCCTGCTTCGTTTGTTAATTAATTCATAAGTGTTGTCTGTTCGGTGATTATTATTGGGCTTTGTTTGAGATAATAAACGAAGTCGGAAACATTGCTTCGTTTTGTTTGAATACCGTCTTCGCGGTGCGTGAATCCTAAAATTAGTGCCGAGGAAAGAAAAATTCAAACATAATTTTGTATATTTTTTAATTTGTAAATAATACGTCTATCCTATGAGCTTGCCGATTTTCCCCTTCAGACCAGCGGACGCCGTGGTCCCTTCAGCTTCGCCGCCCAGGGCGCCCAGTTTAGCCAACTCATCGAGCTGCTGCCCGTCGTCCGAGGTGTCCGGCACTGCAGCGAAAACAAAACAAAAACAAAACCCCATTAGACTGCATTCAGCAAAAACGGGTCGCGGAAACGCTGCGGCTGTCTTACCGCAGTAGGGCATGGAGGGCGCGGTGCCGACGGCGAAGGTGCCCCTGGTGGGGTAGCCGGGCGTGTCCAGGCCGATGGGAGTGCACTCGCCCGTCTTGCACTTGCCGTTGGTCGTGATGATGCTGAGCCGGCCGATGGAGCCGAGACTGTCAAAAACAACAATAACAAAAGACGCGTCAAAGCCTGAAGCGCGCGTCCAGCGTCCAGGCAGGGGCGCCTGGTGGGCAGGCAACCCATCCGACGCCCCGTTCCCGTTCGCGTGACCAAGGATGCGAAGCGGAACGCGCAGAGAGAGGTTTTCGGTGAAGATTTCTCACTTGAGCAGCTGCTGGGCGAGGTTAATCTTGTGGCCCCACATGCGGCACGGACTCTTGATGGCCTCCGTGACGTACTCGTAGGAGCGGCCGTGGGAGCAGGCCACCAGGTTGCCGATCACTGCGCAGACGAGCACGGCGCCAAACAATAACAAAGCAGTAAAAACAAGGACAGCAACCGGCCACTCGCCGGGAGTTTCCGCACGTGGGGAATTATTCAACGAACCATTGATGGGGATCTTGGCGAGGTCGCCAATGCTCTTGAGCGAGTCCAGCTTGGGGGTCTCGCAGCCGGGCTGGTCCGCGCCGCCGTTCATGTAGAAGTCGACGTGGCCGACGGGGCGCATCATGCCGAAGCCCACGAAGGGGATGGTGGGCTTGGCGTTGGAGTGGATCACGTCCACGAAGTCCGCGTCCGAGGTGTCGATGCGGACGATCTTGTCGAGGTTCTCGAACAGGGGCTGGGCCGGGTCCATGGCTGCGGAATTCTTTTTTGAGCGTCCATTCTGGGCATCCGCCGTGCGCTTGTTTTTCGAGGCCGTATCCGAGACTGACCTGTGATGCGTCCCACGTTGGTGATGTTCTTGGCGGCGTAGGACGAGATCTGCGCGCCCAGACTGTGCCCCAGGAAGTGGAAGTCGCGTGCCTTGGCGCCTTTCGCGTCCACCAGGTAGCGGCCCAGCCTGCCCACCTCGGCGCCCACCACGCGCGTGTTGGCGGCGACCTGCAGGTAGGTGCCGTCGTTGGCGCCCTTGCCCCAGTCCACCAGGAACACGTTGCCGTCGACCTGGGGCAACACACACGCTCATTTTCAAAACGGCCAAACCAAAAGTCACGGCGGGGCTCTTCTTGGTCCGGACTGTACCTTTCCGAGCAGCGCGTCCTTGAGGTCGCTGAGCCAGGTGGCGTTGCCGTCGCTGGAGAAGCCGTGCACGACGAAGAACGTCGGCCGGCCGCCGTCGTAGTCGCTGCCGTCCAGGACGATGTTCGGGAACGTGGTCACGTTGTAGCGCTCGCGGTGATTCCTGCGCGGAGGAAACTCAATTTGAAACGACCAACGCGGCAAGGGCGGGTGCACTAGCTCGCGGCGCGCTGTGGGCCTCACCTGGTGTACAGGTACAGCTTGACGTCGATGTCCTCGGGGGACGAGGGCTTGGGGACAGGCCGCAGGGGCGACACCCAGGGCGCCCGCAGCGAGAAGCAGCCCAGGATGTCATAGCAGAGCTCATCGTCCGTGCTGAGTGTCGTGGCGAACCTGCACAAAGCTCACCTGTGAGTTTAAAACAGCCAGGCGAAGATCGTCGTAAGTTCAATGGAGCGTCGCTCACCGGGTGGCCGTGTTGGCCGCGTTGGAGGCCTTGTTGGCGGCGGAGCCGATGGCGGACCTGACGCCTCCCAGCAGGCCCTTCTTCGGAGTGGTGGTGGTGGTCGTGGTGGTTGGGTCTTGTTCATTCTGGGCTGGCGCAGGCACAACACAAACCGGTCATCAAACACATCGCCAACAGAGAGGACCGTCGCGCGGTACTGCATCCTGACTCCGATGATTCGTTTCGCCGCTCTGTCCTTTCCGCACTGAAGGAGCTTACCGCGCGAGAGAGGCAGAGCGACGAAACGATTCCTCGGCCGCACTACTCACTGGCTGGAGCGGCCGCGGCCGGCGCCAGCAGCGCTATTAGCGCCACGAAGAGAGGAGCGGTCCTGCTGACGTGCATGGTTCTGCAAACAGCAAAACAAGCCAAAAATTGGAAATTGATAAAAGCCCGTCCGTTAAACCGGGACTGCCGGGACTCGAACCCGCGGCAGTCTTCGCTCTAACGTACCGTGTGTCTTACTCGGTCGAGTGTGACCGAGTGTGTCCGCGAATCCGGCGGGGCGCTAAAAGCGGTAGAGCAAGACGAGCAGGCAGTGGAAGGGGCTCCCCCTCCCCCGGTCCCCCATTTCTCTCTCTCTCTCTCTCTCTCTCTCTCTCTCTCTCTCTCTCTCTCTCCTCTCTCTCTCTCTCTCTCTCTCTCTCTCCCTCTATCCGCGACAGAGACATCTCCATTATCGCCAGCATCTTTAGGTTCTTTTCCTTCCGTTTTCTTATCATTCGTGTGTGAGTGAGAGAGAGATGAGATAGAAGGCTTTTGGAGACACGAGAATAAAACAAAATCAATGGCCCTTCTTTGCTTCGCACGCGAATGTTTTGCCGGCGAGGCCAATGGACCCCAAGAAGACTTTTGATTAATCCTCGCATCTTCTTCCCGTCCCGCCCTCCCCAGCAACACGCGGCCGGCGGCCGGTCGCGCCTGTTCTCCTCGTTCGCGTGCCGCGCCGGTAGGATACACTAGTAATCCCGCAGACGAATGAATCGACTTGGTGTTGTTTTCAATGAAAATTTGCCACCGCATCCAACTGGTCGGCTCACCGTGACCTTGAGCTTGACACGGCTCGACTCGGCGGCGGTTCGAAGTGTCCAGCGTGTCAAGTGTGTCGATAATCCAGCCCGCCGAGAGACGGCCGTCCGCACCATCCGCGCGTCGCGCGTCCTCCCGGCAGCTTCCGCCGCCGAGGCGCCGACTCCAGACCAGCCACTCCAGCGACGGTCAGGACAGGGTCGCTGGAAAATCCCCTGGCCGTGGAAACCTCGCAGACTCACTGCTAGGATCGCTCATCACGCACGGCCCGCCGCGGCCCGCCAAGACCGTAGAATACCTAAAACAAACAACAACACAAAAACGAAAATAGAAGAATGCAGATTAAATTATCGCCGTTTGATGCGGCCGGCCGGCCCACAGTGCGGTGCCCTACGCGTCTATCTCTAGAACGATCGGTGACCGAAACCACCGATTTTTGTGGCGGGTCTTCGGCGAACGCGACCATCGGCGAAAGCCACATCTTTGGGACGACCAATTTGAGAAGAAACGTGACCACATTATTTGGCCCCGACCGGTGCGGTGTTTTGGTGTTTTCTACCAAAGAGACACGTGTTCAAGCCGAGCTCGCGGTCGTCAAAGTTCCCCATCAACATAGACAAGGCGTCGGTCTAATTAGAGGAACTTTTCCTTCTGCTGGTGATTGCTTTCATGTTATTCCTCTCATGAAACTCAGTCTGCGTCGTGAGACGACTGGGCGCCACCCCTCTTTCACTCTCGACCATGCAAACATTTCTTTTTCAATATGTAAATCAATTGAAATGAATGGAAAAAATCTAACAGATTAAAAAGGCGGGTGGCGCAGTGCTTGCTGGCGGTGTGCCGATCGGTGCCGATGCGGGGCACTGCGCTGCAACGCCGCGTCGCACCGCCAGTCCCTCGGCCAGTCCGATGCAGGCGTCAGTGCCACCCCGTCCGCCCTCCGACAACCACGACTGCCGCCGCCCCAACCCGCCCCAACCCGCCCCGCCCCGCCCGTCCTGCCGCTGACAGCGTCGCCCTCAACCCCTCGCCGTCGTCCTGGCCGCGCGGGGCGTGCTGCTGCAGGTCGTCCAGGGCCCGGCGGTGACGGGGCTGCATGCCGAATGCGCTTGAAGCGCCGCCGCCGGAGGTGAGTCCGGCGTCAGGGCCGCGAGGCTCGTTGTTTATGCAAATCCCTGTCAAGGCAGAGCCACCCGCGGCACTGCAGAAAGGAATGGCGACTTGCGTGAAGCCCTCTGCACGGCGTCCAAGGCGTTGCCGGGGTGAAATCACGCCTCAGCGGGTCACCAAGAGCCGGCCCGGCCCGGCCCACCCCGCCCTTGAGTTGATCTTGGCGCGCCGCCAGGGCCGGCTGCACCAATATCAAGATCACTGAACTGTTTCGGGAGAGGAGAGCCTCGACAGGTGCCAATAACGTCCGTGTGTTGTCGGCTGCCTCGCCCGCCGCGCCGCGCCTGTCACCGCGAGGCATGCCTCGCTTTCGTCCAACGGGGCGAGGCGAGCGTGACATGCACCGGCCACCCTAAACACTCCGAAACCAACCCTCTCCCCCACCCGATGTACTGTCATTACTTCTCTGTCTCACACACACCGACGCGCGCGCGGTAAGTGCACGGAGTGCAGCCTTGCGCGTGGTACAGTAGTGCCGCAGGCCCAGGCCGCGCCTTAATGCAGCGCCGCACCGCCGTTTCGCCATTTCAGTCTTGCGTTCGGCATTCGGCATTCGGCATTCGGCATTCCCCCCGCGCCTTGATTGACGCGGCCAATTCGCCTGTCGGCTTCGGAATCGGTGAATCGGCTCGGCTCCGCTTGCTGGAGACGCGCCGCCCCACTCCCCCTCCCACTTCTCGTTGTCATTCGAAGCCCGTTGTGGAAAGAGAAAAGAACTCGGAAAAGAAACGCGAAAAGAAGCAGAGAGGCGCCTTGCAGCGTAGGCCGCACGCCGCGCGCGCGTGCATAGGGTTGCCTACCCGCGTGACCGCAGGCGTCCAGGGGCCGAGTAGGCAACCCATCGTACGCGCCTGCAGCGCACACGACGGCGACTTCTCTCCAAAGCACTCAGAGACAATTTTATTTTTCGCAGCGTTGGATGGAGCAGCTCCCCGAGGAGTTGGTGCACGTGATCCTCGGGCTGCTGGACGAGCGCACCCTGCGATGCGCCGTGCCCAAGGTGTGCCGCCTGTGGGCGCGCCTGGCCGCCACGCGCGGCGTCTGGGCGCACGTGGCGCTCACCTTCGAGCGCGAGGCTGACTTCGCGGAGCGCGCGGGGTGAGTGGCTGGTACTTGCTGGCCGTCCGGTACGTACTTTGTGCACGTTGTAACGCCTTTCCTTTTCCCAGGTGGCTGCCGCCCGCCGTGCTGTCCCTGGACATCCGCAAGTGCGGCGCGCCCGGCTTCCTCACGGAGGAGCAGTGGCGCACCGTGCTGGCGTGCGCGTCGCACCCCCGCCGCCTGGCCGGGCTGGCGTGCATGCCGGTGCGCGGCGGCGTGCAGGGCACGGTGCACCGCGGCTCGCTGGGCGGCGGCGGGCTGGGCGGCGCCCTGGGCCGCAGCCTGCAGTGCCGCCGACGCCTTCTGGAGCTGCTGGACAAGAGCTGGCACAGCCTGGAGAGCCTCTCCCTCAAGCTGGAGGCGCCCCTGGACGAGGACACGGCCCAGCTGTGGACGCTACTCGCCTCCATGCCGCGCCTGCAGCACCTCGAGCTCTCCATGAACACCGTCAAGGGCGAGTGGCTCTGCGACCCTGACGTGAGTAGCCGTTTTTCAACTCAATCGCCGACTGCGCCACCGCCGCTACCCCGGGCTCGCCGAGCGCCAGCGCGCGGGGTATCGCCACTACAAAGTGGCGGCCGGCGGGCTGTGCTGCCATCTCGCGGACAGGCGGGCTCGCGGCGGCACGATGAGGAAGTTCCGCACTAATCTGCCCGATCCCTCCTCGTTGGCCACGCACAGGGGCTCCCCCAGGAGCTGTGCTGGTGCTGGGACGAGGGCTGGCCCTGCCTGCGCCGCCTGGACCTGCGCGGCGTCCCTGCGGGCCCCGCCACGTGGCTGCTCCGCGGCTTCCTGCGCGTCCGCGGGCCGCAGCTCCACGAGCTCATCCTCAGCCCCGGCATGCAGCTCAACCCGCGCCTCATGCGCCTGCTCAAGCAGTGCGCCCGGCTCAACCACCTGGGCGTCAGCTGCAGCAACGCGCTGTGGCGGCTCGACGGCTGGACGAACGTGCGTACACCATCAGAGACGCGGCCGGGTTCGAGTCCCGCACCGGAGTAAAGTCTTTTTCGGTCACAGTTGACCTCACTGACACTGCTGGGACTCCCCCGGCGCCACACGGCCACGTGGGTGCTGAGGTCCCCGCTGGCGGCCAAGCTGGAGTGCCTTTCCCTGGACGGCGTCAACCCCTCCCTGTTCGACGTGCTGCCCGCCGTCGGCAGCTCCTGCCGAAACCTGCACACCATCTCATTTCAGCGCTGCCAGGTACGGCGGCGAGTGGAAGCGGTGGTCATTGCCTGCCGAGAGTTCAATCTGTCGGTAAATTGACGCAATTTTGATTTTGCTGCAGGTGCCGGCGCGCTTCGCCCTGCCGCTGGCGCAGTGCCCGCTGCGCGAGGTGCGCGCCGACAACATGCGCGCCGAGCACGTGCTGGAGGCGCGCCGCCTGCCCAAGCTGGAGTGCCTGCGCCTGTCCGGCCACTTGGGCAACTACGGCTCCATGATGGTGGCCGTGACCGCGCTGCGCGACGCCAACCCGGACCTGCGCGTCGTGGGGCTGGAGGACGGCCTGTTCAACAACTGGGGGCCCGGCGTGCAGCGCGCCCTGGCCCTCTCGAGGCCCTCGTCGTGCACCGCCGCCTCCAGGGCGAGGACGGCGTCGTGAACCGCGAGGTGCACTGGCGGGATCCTCAAGTGCAACGACTGTCGATAAGAAGTCTGACTGTAAATAACCACCGCATTAAAGCCGTCATTCCTTTTAAAAACGGTGAAAAACAGTGGCGCGGTCTCCGCAGTCACTCTCAAGCTAGAAGCAAGGTTCCCCCCCGGAGGTTTACTGCCTGGCGCAACCGGCGTTTACTCAGGTTTATTAAAATTCTCGTGCCGCCCCCGTCGTCGGCGTTGCCGGGGGGCGGCGGGCATTGTCGGCGCCCCCCGCACAGCGCCGCGTGCCCCCGCCCGTCCCCGCACGCCCCCGCACGGCCTGCACGGCCTTCACGGCCTCGAGCAGAGCGGCCACCGCCTCACACGGCAAAGAGGTCAGTAAAGCCCGCTGGAAAATGAATGGCAACAACAAAAACTTATAAAGCAGAAATAAACACAACGACTTTGAAACGTGTTGTTCTCAAGTCAAGCCGAATCCGGCACATGGACCCCGCTACCTACAACGGTGCCGACCGGGGCGCCTACCGCTGGAGCCAGACGCACTCCGACCTGGACGTACAGGCAGGTCCAAAACCACCGACTGAGTCCGAGCCACACGAAGATAGACACGAGCGAGGATGGATGATGATTCACGCGTTGCTGGCAAGGGCGGTTCGCGCGTTCGCGCTGCCGACGCACAAAAGTCACTCACCGCGCGCACAAAGTTTGCTCTGGAGGTGACCCGAACGGGCAGGCTGCCGACTGCCCCTTCCGGGAGGCTGCCGTCGGCCCTTGGACCCGCCCGGACCCGGGACGCCAAGACGGCAAAGTGCGTCCATATTTCTCTTTCAACAGTTGGCAAAACTAGAATGCGGGCCTGGCTGGGCCTGGTCGGCCTGGCCGGCCCGGGCGGGCGTGGCGTGACCTGGCACCTTCCCTCTGAGACCACTTGCCGCCGTCATCCTCCGGGGCGGGGCGGGGAGGGGAGTCGAGTTTCTCAAGTCCGAGGACGCAAAAACGGCGAAGGGGTCAGCCCAGCCAGCGCGGCCAGCACCGCCACGATGAGTGGAAACAAGAAGCGTCCGCCCGCAGCCCGCAGCCCGCAGGGCCGCAGCCTCCGGTTTCGACTTGGCGCACGCCTTGGCGCATTGTTTCCGGAACGGGCACGGCGGTGTCGCTGTCGGCGTCCTCGGGGATCGCGCGGGGATAACGTCGTTGCGATCGGTGCTGAATATCTCCATTGGGCTGCCGCGCTGCCTGGCTCGGGTTCAAGTCCCCGCGTCGCCTCGCGGCGCCCGCAAGAAAGCCCGCACACCCGCTCTGCAATTACAGGCGGAAATCTCACATTTTGACGGCCGTGCTGCTCCTCTCCAAGGTGGTGGTCCCGGCGGACGCGGTGTCCTGCGAGGACCTCGTGGTGCTCATCAAGGCCGACTCGCTGCTGGTGAAGTACGGCGCGCGCGTCCTGGTGGACGGGAAGCTGACCCACGCCGTCAAGGACAAGGAGAGCTTCTGGACGCTGCTGCCGCGCCAGCACGTCCACGTCAGTCACCTACGATAACATTTCAACTTTGGATTACATTTCGGATTAGGTTGGGATGTCGAGTAGCGGCTAGCGGGCAGGTCTTGGACCCGTGGGTCGATACTCCACGTGCCAGAGATACTCGCTTTTTTCAAACACTGCGCGCGGGGTATCGCCGGCGTCAGTTCCGTTTCGGTTCGGCTCGGCCGGCAGGTCCAGCTGGAGAAGGCGCGACCCCGCTGGTGGAGCGGCCTGCTGGAGGGCGAGCCGGCGGCGGACGTCCCGGCCAGGGAGCTGCCCTTGGAGGAGCTGCCCAGCGAGGAGGCCATGCTGGTGGAGCGGCTGCGCTGGCAAGACCTGCAGAAACGGCAGCGGGACGGCCGGCCGCAGGACCCGCAGGCGCCGGCTTGAGCGCGACCAGCACGACCACCAAGACACACCTGCGGGCGCGCGGCAGCGTCCGGGCCACAAACAACGCATTTTCTCCTGTACCGTGTTTAGCGCCAGTGACCGCTGAATAAAGAATTGAGTTTGCAAAGTGTTGTTTTAAGTTCCGCGCCACCAACTTTTTCCGAGTTTCTTTTTCTCCTCTTTCATTTTTCAATCCTTAATTACTATTTTATCATGTTTTTCTTTCTTAAAGTTCTTTTTTATTTTGCTATGATTTTTTTGTCTTTGCTGTTTTTATTTTCGTTTTTTAAATATTTTTTTCCATCATCTTTCGCCCCCCACATTCCATCCCCCACCCCCACCCCGCCCATTCCCCAGCCGGTGGCCAGACAGGTCAGAAGGAACGAGACGGAAGGTGCACACAAGAGCAACACGTTTATTCTTCCAGAACATAAAGGCAACATGCAACAAGACGCGGACGGGGGTGACGGGGGTCACGGAGGGGGCGCGTGGCTTGGCGGCGGCGCGCGGCGTGGCTGGTGACTGCACCCGGGGCCGGCGGGGTGCGGCGCTCGGAGCGCTGCTCGACGCGCTGCTCGCCAGCGGGAGGGGGAGGGGGAGGGGGTCACGGCGAAATTTGGTCGAGTGCTGCGTTCCTCGGCTGCCCCTGCAACAGCACAAGCACCAAATGATCAATCAGCGCCGCGGGTCGTGCATTTCGTTTTATTCCCGTGCGGGACCCGGCCGACCCACTGCACAGCGATCGGCCCGTCTCTCTCGCTCTCGCGGCGTTCCGCGAAGGTGGGAGAGAGACAGAGCGACGAACGCCGTGTGGACCGACTCCGCACAGCGGAGCGCGGCGATGACGGCCGTGCAGTCCGCGACGTGTTCCAGGAATGCGACTCGAATAATTGAACTAGAGAGCGCGTGCTGAGATCCGAGCGAGAGGAACGCAGGGATCCCGCGCGCCAACGCCAAGCCGTGGCGATTGTTGCAAAACCGGGGCCATTGTTCGAGCTACAGTCGCGGCAACCTAACACCGACCCCGGGCGGGACGTGCCGCGTCCGAGGCCAACGCGTCGCGGACAGGGCGAAGGTTAACACTGCGGACTCACCATCAGGTCACTGCGAGGTGAGGCGCGCCAGGGGCGCCACCAGGGCTGCGGCCATCATGGACACGACGGCGAACAGCGGGGAGCTCGCCATCAGGCCGGCGGCACTGCAAGGGCACGGGCGGCGTCAGAGGGGGCAGCGGGGACAGGGCACGGGGCACAGGGCGTGGGGCACAGGGCACGGGGCACAGGGCGTGGGGCACGGGGTCCGACGAGGGAGGGCAGTCGACTCACCCGCTCTTGGAGCTCTTGCTGGCGCTGCCGTGGCTGGAGCCGCCTGCAGGGGCGGGTCCCTCCTCGGAGCCGCTGGCTGAGCCCGACTCGGAGCCGGAGCCGGAGTCTTGCCGGCCGGCGCTGGCGAGCGCGGCGAAGGCCAGCAGGCAGAGGGCGAGGATGATGAAGGTCTTCAACACGGCCATCGTAAGCTGGCTGGGAAAGTCCTGGGGACTTGGCTGGGAGTGCTCTTGGTTTGGCTGCTAGAGGTACGGTCCGATCCGTTCCAAGCTCACTCGCCGACTGAGCGCTGTGTCGCGGTGCTACCCGTTGCCTAGCGACCGGCCTGGGTGTCCCGCCGGCCTCGGCGGCCCAGCCCCGCTCGGGCCCCTTCGGTGTGGTATTGTTGGTCCCGAGCGCCGAACCGAACCTAAGGTCACACGCACTGCCGGCCGCGCGCTGCCTCGCCTGAGACGTCGACAGAAGGACAACACGAAACGCAGTGGCGGCGCGGCCGGGGATTGAACCCCTAAAACCGAGCAATCCATTAGCTTATCACAAACCCACCAAACTAACGGCCGAAATATGAGTATCGAAAAACCTCGAACCGGATTCAGTTTTTATTGTCCGCACTTGAGGCGACGTGCGGACGGCGTTGGACGGCGTGGCCCGCAGTGCGCCGCACCGCTCGGCCTGCACTTGCACGCCCTCATTGCCGATGAGCCGATCCAGCGAGTCGGGGCGCCGAGGCGGCGGGGCGGGGGGGGGGGGGGGGGGGGGGGGGTGGCGGCGGCGCTGCCGGGGCGCGGGGCGCGAGGGGCTCAGTCTCCAGCGAGACGCCGCCGCGGCCGGACCACGCCACGCGACCCCCGCGCCGCACGCCGTCACGTGCTCGATGTGTGAGTGCGAGCGTCGCGACGCCCACGACGCCACCGCCGCGACCAGGGCGACCAGGGACAGCGCGCGCAGCGCGGAGGCAGCAGCCGACATCCGAGGTGAGGGCGCGGGTTCGAGCCCCGTCCACGGCGGCTTCCTTTTCCGCGGGCTCGTCGCGTCACGCACGGCGGCGTCCCCGCTTCATCCCGCGCTTCCCACCACCCCGCCGAATTGTTTTTCGCGCCGTCGCCAAAGTCTCTCGGAAGTCCACGCGCGTCAGGTCAGGGAAGCCCCAAGTCTGTGTAGAAGAAGTTAGCCTGGAGTCGGTCTAGCGCCCGGCGTAGCCCGGCCGGGCGCGGCCCCCCGGGGGGAAGAAATACTTTGATCTGGATTGCGATGTGTCTGAGGGTGGATGACCCCCCTGCTCCTTCATAGGGTTACTGTTTGGAGAAATATGAGAGCCGTCACAGCTGGGCGCGCAGAAAAACAATACAGCGTCGGGCAACGCGACGCCGTGACACATTTCGTGACCGTTTTGTTCCCTCGCCTACCAAAGACTTTGATTCTTACCGCGCGTTCTCTTCAAAACAACTGGAATCGCGAGCGGCGTTTCGTTAAGCTCCAAACTCAACCAATTCACTTTTCAAAATGCGCGCGCAGTCGGGTTGGTGGCACCACGCGGTCACAAGGGCGTATCTTGTGTGGAAGTCGCACGCGACTACGCTGTTCTGGTTCGAACCTCCCACCGCCGGGCACACTGGGCACGCTGGGCACGCCGCGCCGCGCACTCGACTGGTGATTGAATCGCCCTGCCGGGCATCGGGTGCTCCAGACGCTTCCGCTGCGCTGCCGCGCTGCTCGCGCGTCGGGTTGTATGGAGGAGGACGCGGCGACGTCCGGCTCCAAATGATTGCTTTACGTTCGATTCCGCGCGCGGCCGCGGCCTTATAACCTGCTGTCTTTTTTATGATCCCCAGTGACTCGATCCGGGAGGAGGTTGGGCCAGGAGAGCGAGGGTGGCTTTCGTAATCATAAAAATGAAAAAGTTTTTCTTATTTTTTCCGGTAATAAAACGTGGCCGCTGGCACGGCTGGCACCGCTGGCGCGGTGTTTGTGTGTGTGGTGGGTGGAAAGAGAGAGATAGGGAGAGAGGGAACGCGCGCCTGCTGCCGACTGAGAGTTTGCGGTAAGACACGTAAGAACAGCACGAGGGCGCGCCGGCACGCAGCTCTGTTGTCCTTCCCTGCCGCGCTCGGCCGGGGCGGCTAGGGCGGCTAGGGCACGGCCAGGCCCGGCAGGCTGGCTACAGCCTGGCTGCCAGCCCCGCCAGGGTGGCGCTGTTGACATTGGGGGCGGACTGGGCTATTCATTCAGAGGGTTTGGACAATTATGGTTGGTTGGTTAAGTCAGCCTGGTCGGCCCCGGCCGCGCGGCCGCCCTGCCTACGTGGGGCTGGTCCAGAAGCCAACGCTTTGGTACGAGGGTCAGCGCAGCCCCCCGCAGCCCCCCACAGCGACGACCCCCCGTGGGCCCCGTCGGACCCCTCCTTGTACCTGCCGGCCTGCTGGGCTGGGCAGCCCCTGTTCTGATTTGCTCCGCTTGCCTTGTGACCACGGCGACGGCGACACAAGCCCCTAACAAATTCCTCGTTGCTTGCAGATGCAGCGGTGGCGGCGGGGGAGGTAGCGGCCGCGCGGGGCTAGTGTCGCTGCGCACCACGGAGGAGAGTCGGACTTCCCCGGCGAGGCTTGGCGGTCGGATGCTGCAGCGCGCGCTGCGCGGACGCTAGAGCAAGATGGCAGTGCAGGGCCTGGTCCGCCCCGGACTCCCTGGACGCCGCGGCGGTGGAGCGCCCCGCGACGCCCTGGCCGTCGTCCTGGCCGTCGTCATCGTCGTCGTCCTCGTCGCCTCGCCAGTGGCCAGCTCAGGTGAGTCGTCGGCCTGCAGGGTTGCCCAGTCGAACGGCGGCAGCACGCAACGCGCCGCAACGCGCCCCGACTGTTGACTGTGGTGGTTCGCGTGCTTCGCGTGCTGCATCAACACCGACATGCAGCAGCTACTCGCGCTGCCAACAAAACGACGCGAATGTCCCGCTCGGGGAGCCAGAACAGAAAAAAAATCTCATTCAACGAACGTTAATGAAAGCAGATGATCCATCGCGTTTCGCAATTGCTGTGATAGCCGAGAGGTTAGAGACGTGGGATCGAGTTACCGCGGGCCGGCGTTCGAATACCAGCGTCACAACAGTTTTTTCGACTTGCTATCCTAAGGGTGGTGGTTCGAGGCCATGAGAGCGGAGCCGTGTGCAACAGGCCCACATGCCGGAGGTTCGACTCCTAACAAATATTTCCATTTAATTTTACTGCCTCACCCAGTGCGGTTCAAACTCGTAAACGTGAGCCCACTTCGAGCATGGGACGTGGTGGTCCAGGGAGTAGAGGCGTCGGTTCTCAGTGCTGGGGTCGGCGGTTCGACTCCCCCAACTTCTTGCGAAATTTTGACCGGGTCGGTCGAGTCCTGTTGCGTCAAGAACCCACGTCACGCCGATCCCTTCAACATGGGCCGTGGTGGCCGAGAGCGTAAAGTCGTGTGATCCCGATGGCGGGGTCCGGGGATCGACTCCCATCATTTCATTACATTTTTCGACCGCCTTCCTCCCAGTGCAACTTAAACCCGTCGTCCAACACGCTGCCAGACGTACAAGCGTGATAGCGTAGTGGTCAGAGTCACATTCACCTGGCCACTCCGCTGTGGGTGTCTAAAAAGCAATCCGCTTCGGCGGGTTGGCCTCGGCACTGGAGCGATGGCGTATTTGATCCATCAATCCAGACCATCCGGTGTGTGGTTGCGGGTGGTGCCTCCTTGATTCGTCGGGGAGGCGATGATAAGTCCTTTGAAGCTGGCCTAAAACGCTGTATGTTCGGTACGGGAGCGCCGGACAGTGGGGGTACCATGGGGTACACAACCAACCCTACGAAAACAAGAAGCTCCCACCAAACCTCTTCTCTGTCTGAGTCTCTCTCTGTCTCTCTGTCGTCTCACTCTACGTCCCGCCCCTCAAAGAGCTTCGTACTGGGTGCTCTCACCCAGCTGCCTGAGCTTTGGGGCCTACTGGGTCCCCCGGCGAACGCTTGGGTCGCTGACGGGATTAACCCCAGGTACCTGATAGCACCGGTTCCCATCCCGAACACCGAAGTAAAGCAGGAGGCCTCCCCATTAAGACTGGGGAGGGGGTGTAGAGTTCAAATTTTTTCTTTTCCCTTTCAAATTTCTTGGTTAATACTCGTTTGGTTTCCTTATACGGGGTAGTATGCGGGCTCATTCCAAAGATAGTAATTAAAATTGTGTATGAAACAAAATATATAAATGTGTTTCAAGTGTGAAGGTATCATCTGCTAAAAACATGGCGTGGAATCTTAATTAAGACGAGCGAGAAAAATGCCGGAAAGTCGAGTGGAAACGTTCAGCCCGACGCGGAGGTCGAAGACGCCACGGGCTTGGCTGTGTCGCCGGCCCGGGTCGCCGCCGTGCCTCTTCGTGGCACTCGCTGAGGAATTCCATTACCTCGGGGGATGGATTATTTTGTCTCCATAGGAAAATTAAAAGCTCGCGCGTTCACGGGCGTATTTACGAGCGGCAGCGCGGCGCGGCGCAGCGATCCCGCAAGGCGAGATTTAAATGAAAAGTGGAGACGGAGGAGCGGAGTGGAGCGAAATCAGCCGAAGCGACATGCGCGCGTGGAATTCGTTATCACGCTTGGAAATTCAGTGAAGATGGAGGGAACGAAATGAAGGTCTGCCGTGGGGCGTGGGTTCGAATACCCGTCGGCTCTTTTTTTTTCCCCTCTCCAAGTGGAAGCAGCTGGCAGTCTGATGGACGCTCTGGCCGCGCTGGCGACGGTGGCCGTCTTCGCGGGGGCCTTGGCCGGCCTTGGCCACCACGGCGTGTAAGTTATCGCCCCGACGGCATTCAGGGCCTTCAGCGCGTCCGCGTTCCGGGCGGGGCGGCGGTCCCGGGGGGCCGCGGGCGTCCAGAAGGATGCGCGCCTGCGGACGCCTGCGGACGCCTGCGGAGGGGTGCGAATGTGGTAATTCGAATAGACCGGGGACCCAGGGCGGCCGCGTGCGAGAGAGCGGAGCGGCGCGGCGTCCTTGCAGTCCTTGCACGTCCTCGTCGTGGACCGGCGGCCTGTTCGGACGCAGCCGGAGGGACGCACAACTGTGACGCCCGGGGCGGTGGGGCGGTGCTGGTGGTCCTGGCGGTCCTGGCGCGCGCGGCGGGCCGCAGTCTGCCGCTTACGTCCACTCGATACCCGGCGGCCACCACCAGCCACCGGCGCGCTCCCCCGCGCCGCCAAGGCCGCCAAGCAGGCCGAGACAACGTCACCGCACCCACTCTGCTTTCCTTTGGCGTGGAGAACTGCGAGGCGCGATGAAGTTGGCGTTGTT